AAACAGCGAGGTTAGTCTCTGCTCATACTATGCCTGCTAGTGAGCCATCCTCACCAGCTGTGTCGTCTGCTACTTTTGATATTAGTAGACCGATCACCTTGGTACCTGTGTTCAGGGAGTCAGAGGTTGATTCCTATTTCAGTGTGTTTGAACGTATAGCGGTAGCATTGAAATGGCCCGACGAGGTATGGTGCCTATTACTTCAGTGTAAACTAACAGGTAAAGCCCAAGAGGTTCTGGCAGCGCTACCTCTTGAAGACAGTTTTAATTATGAAGTGGTCAAAGCTACTGTTCTTCGTGCCTATGAGCTTGTTCCTGAGGCATATCGACAGAGATTTAGGTCTCATAAAAAGTCTCCTACTCAGACTTATGTGGAGTTTGCTAGAGACAAAGGAAATCTGTTTGACAAATGGCACAGTGCTAGTAAGGTAACTGATTTTAACTCTCTACGGGAGTTAATCTTGTTAGAAGAGTTTAAAAATTGCTTACCGGAACGCATTGTAGTTTATCTGAACGAACAGAAAGTATCCTCACTGTCGGAAGCGTCTGTATTGGCAGACGAGTTTGTGTTGACGCATAAGAGCGTGTTTTCGGCTCGTACGGAGAGCAGGGCTGCGGAGTTGCTAACTTTTAGTCCTAGTCGACCAGCAGTACATCCAGCGCGCCCAAAAGATGTGCGTCACTGTTTCTATTGTCATAAGGTGGGACATATGGTTAATGATTGCTTTCTGCTAAAACGCAAACAGGGGATGCCTCAGCACGCCAGGCCGCCAACGGGTGTTGGGCTGATTCGTACGGTTGTAAGGCCGGAATCAAGACAGAAGCCTCATAGTGAATGTGGTTTGAAAGTCCCTGTCCCAGATCACAGTTATGAACCGTTCATTTTTGAGGGGTTTGTTTCTATATCAGATGACGAAGCGTCTCAGCGTCCAGTTAGAATCCTCAGAGATACTGGTGCGGCGCAGTCGTTCATACTAGCTGATGTGTTGCCCTTGTCTAATAATACATATTGTGGTTCCAGTGTGTTAGTACAAGGAATTGAAATGGGATTTGTTCCAGTGCCATTGCACTTTGTGAACGTACACTCTGAGTTAGTCAGTGGATTGTTCAGAGTTGGCGTACGTCCTATGTTGCCAGTAAAAGGTGTGACATTTATAATGGGCAACGATATTGCCGGAGGAAAGGTGATACCCGTATTGGAGGTATTGGATAAAAGTGACCAGTCTCTCTCCGAGGAGCTGGCACAGGGTTATCCAGATGTGTTCCCCGCTTGTGCTGTCACACGTGCTCAAGCACGACAAGTGGGTGAAGTGATAGATTTGTCGAACACGATTCTATTCAGAGAGTGTGACCCAGAGGATAGTTCGGGTGCTACCTCTGGTAAGCTGGTGCAGTCTGACCAACAGTCCAGAGAAAGGAAGAAGGATGTGGAACTTGTTGCTGAGGCAATACAGTTACCAGTTACTCGTGAGCAGCTGATCGCTAACCAACAGGTTGACATTAGCCTGGCTAAATGTTTTTCTAGTGTTGTCTCAGAGGACGAGCTAAAGAAGAAAAACATGGCATATTTCATTGATGGTAATCTCCTCATGCGTAAATGGACATCCCATGTTGACGCTGGCGGAGATTGGAATGCTGTTTACCAAATAGTGATTCCTACAGCCTTTCGACAAAATGTTTTATCCCTCGCTCATGATCACCAGTGGTCCGGACATCTGGGAGTCACCAAGACTTATGATCGAGTTTTGCGACATTTCTTTTGGCCTGGCTTAAAACAAGATGTGGCTCAGTTCTGTCGGACTTGCCACACCTGTCAAGTAGTTGGGAAACCGAACCAGGTTATTTCCCCCGCGCCTCTTTGTCCCATACCGGCCATAGGTGAACCATTCGAACATGTGATGGTTGATTGTGTTGGACCATTACCAAAAACAAAATCTGGTAACCAGTTTATGTTGACAATTATGTGTGTGGCCACCAGGTACCCAGAGGCCATTCCTCTGCGAAGGATTACTGCTCCGGTGGTGAGTAAAGCGTTGATCAAATTCTTCTCAACTTTTGGATTACCTAAGGTGATACAAACTGATCAGGGTACGAATTTCCTTTCTAAAGTTTTCAAACAAGTGTTAAAATCCTTGTCAGTTACACACCGTGTGTCAAGCGCATATCACCCAGAGTCTCAGGGTGCGCTTGAACGTTGGCATCAGACCCTGAAGTCTATGCTCCGTAAATATTGCTTGGAATCTGAGAAAGATTGGGATGAGGGAGTTCCTCTAGTGTTGTTTGCTGTCCGTGAGACAGTACAGGAATCCCTAGGGTTCAGCCCAGCTGAACTGGTGTTTGGACACACCATGAGAGGACCTATGAAAGTCCTTAAGGATCAGTTTTTGTCACAAGAGTTGTGTGTGAAAGAAAATGTGTTGGACTACGTTAGTCGCTTTCGTGAGTGCCTACATGCTGCCTGTGCTCTAGCAAAGGAAGCGCTGTCTTCCTCACAGAAACGGATGAAACGACACTATGACACACAGGCTGTTTCTCGTTCACTGCAGCCAGGTGACCGAGTTCTTGTGTTGTTGCCTGTGCCAGGAGCGTCATTGTCAGCACGTTTCTCTGGTCCTTATGTCATTGAAAAGAAACTAACTGAAACTGACTATGTGATACAGACTCCTGATAGAAAACGCCAATCTCGTGTGTGCCACGTTAACATGTTGAAGACATACCACACCAGACCCGTCACTCAGGTAGACAGTCCAGAGAAACTGGCCGAGTCGGCTGTCTCTGTTGCTGCTACGGCTGTAGTGGGAGGTCATGTTAATGATGTCTTCAACGGTCTCCAACGGTCCAACCTTAAATCAATATATTTGGGATGTTGACCAAGGTTTACGCGAATACATGTCAAACACTATGTCACTTCAAACTGGAGATAACTGCCTAGTGATGGGAAGGCAAGCTCACAAATCAGTCAAGATCTCCGTCCTCACAAGACCTAATGGTTAATTTAAAGGGATAGTCGGGATTTGGGCAATGAAGCCCTTTATCTACTTCCCCAGAGTCCGATGAACTTGTGGATACCATTTCTATGTCTCTGCGTTCAGTTTGAAGGAAGCTGCCAACTAGCGTTAGTGCAATTGCTGACTAGGGTTAGTGCAATGACTGGAAGTCTATGGGAACAGCTAGCATGCTAGTTGGCATTGGCTCGCGAAACTACCTCTAACTTCCTTAATACTGGTCACAGATACATAAAAATATATATCCATGTGTTCATATTACTCTGGGGAAAATCCCGAACTACCCCGTTAATGGTTTTCCTTCCTGACAGAATTGATTAATTCGTTATTTGTGAGTGAATGATCGTGGATCGTTGTTTCTTGTCTGTAAGACCTGGTCGTGTGAATAAGGCTTGATGTAATGAGTTTCTCTGGAATGTTGAATGTCATGTCGGTTGGCTTTGGAAATAATTTGCTGGAGTAGGTGATGCTCACTAACTCTCCTATTATATATCAGTGAGAGCGACATGTAAGGCTGACGTGTTGATTGTGAAAGTCCATTACTGTTTTACAGTTCACTTGCTCGTGATACCAGGGCGGCTATGGCAGTATTTTTGGGAAACCTGTCGGAACGCCTCAGTCAGTAAATCTGCACTGACGTGGAATATAAATCCTGTTTGACATGCTCCTGCAAAAAGGCTGTGTGTGTATGAGGGTGTGGGAGAGGGAGTGTGACTATTTACAAAGCTATACCTGCCCCATTAGCCCGGGGGGTTGAAACCACGCTTACTACTCCCTCCCCATTTTCACTGAAAAATATCCTGCCCATGCTATTGATCCGGAAGTGAAAGAGGGAGAGACTCTGCCTGCCTGCCTGCTGCAAAACACACTGGGAGAACAGTTTAGTTTAGACCCCAACCTCTAATTTTATGTCTGTTTCGAGAGGGATAGATCGAGACCGAGACAGAGATAGACACTGAAATGTAGGCTGGGGTATAAGAAAAGACAGGGAGAGAGAAAGAGGAAGGGGCATGGAACTAGAATGAGCTAGAAAAAAAGTGTGGTGACAAACAAACAGAAAGAGGCTAGAGAGAGGCTACAGGGATAGATCAAGAATGAGAGGGAGAGTAAAAGCGGGAGAGCGAAATTGACAGAAGAGAAAGGAGAAGGGCAGCGAGAGCCCCACTGGATCGGGCGGCTTCAGAGTTCACACTTGGTTGGCTGCTCCATGTGTAAAGCAATTAAGGGGGGACCGGGAGGCTTCCCTTCCCTGCAGGTCGGTGCTGTGTTGCCGAGGCGGCATGGAATTGTTCATGAGCTTCCAGAGGGAGAAAGAGAGCGAGGGAGAGGGCGAGCGAGAGAGTGGGAGTGAGTGCTGCTGAGGGGCAGGGTCACGCTGTGCTCTGAGAGAGTGAGCAAAACAGACAGAGAAAAGTCTGTCAGAGGTGCACATGATCTTAAAGCTAAGTCTCTCTTTATTTTACCCCCCTCAGTCACTCCCAGGATTCAGGAATGCCTTTTTGCCACAGGTACAACATGTGACTTTGGACTTTCTCCCCTACAAAGGATTACTTTTCCCCTACACGAGGAGAAGCACTACCGGTATCTTTCCTTTTATGACTTGAAACTTTGTTTCAAGGGAGGACCTCATTCTCGGTATTTACCTGGGACCTGTTTTGTTGTCTCTTCACCACGGCACGCCATGCGTGTGGATCTGATTCTGAGCTGCGACTCCAGTGTGTTTACCCAAGGCTCTGTGCGTGGCAGCTCCGTAGAGACTGTTGCCTAGAGCATGGCTGCGTCGTCGGGACTCATCTGCTCTCTGCTGCTCTCCCCTCTTGGGCTCTCTTCTTGCTTTGCTAGCCTCAGCTGAAGGATCCATCCATCGCAGCAGGTGCACTGTAGATGCTGAAAGGATCACCGGAGAATTCGTACAACCCTTGAAAATTAGTAGGGAAGAGAAGGATGGAAAGCGCTACAAGGATACACTAGAAAACCCTTAAATTGTCCACCTCCATGGATTCCTACCGCTCGTACTGGAATTCAAGCCACCAGGCCATGTGGGTGGAAGGGGAAGATCAGGATGTGTACGAGGTGGAATCTCGTGTGCCCCTGCCCCGGCCTTTCCCCCTTTCCAGCGTCCTCAATGAGAAAAACGCGGTGGTGATACAGACGCAGATCTCGCACGTCAACCACAGGACCAATGGTCACCTCCTTAAGGTGATCTCTAAGATCTCCCTGCCCACGCCGCCCTATACAGTAAGTTTACAGCTGCTGACCTGCCATGTAACCTATATGGAACTGTATAACTAGTGAAGTAAATCTGACTCTGTCTGGACAGTTACTCTACCTTATTAATCTGAAAGTGTCTTTCATTTGGCTGACTTTATGTTCTAAACCGCAGTTTTGCCCATTATTTTATACAGTTCATAACATGACCTAAATACAACCCCTCCTATATAGGGAGTCTACACTTGTACGTTATACAGCTAATTTGCTTGACAGCAATATTTTTGACTGGGCAACTTCTACAGTGAAAAACACAGTGAGTAGCCTATACAGTCCAATATCTCCCTACTCTGCTTTCATCTGAGCAGGTGATCATGTGAAGTGAGCAAAAAAGTACTCCCAAGATTTAGGTGTTGCACGTTTGCGTGACTTCTTCCTGGTTGTCATAATGTTGCAGTATGACCTTTGCTGCTGTGGGAGATATGGATGTTGAAACATTGCTGTGGGGACTTGCTTCCATTCAGCCACGAGCATTAGTGAGGTCGGGCACTGATGTTGGGCGATTTACGCCCGGCTCGCAGTCAGCATTCCAATTAATCCCAAAGGTGTTCGATGAGGTTGAGGTCAGAGCTCTGTGCAAGCCGGTCAAGTTCCTCCACACCGATTTCGACAAACCATTTCTGTATGGACCTCTCTTTGTGCACAGGGGCATTTCCTGAAAAAGGAAGGGCCTTCCCCAAACTGCTGCCACAAAATTGGAAGCACAGAATTGTCTACAATGTCATTGTATGCTGTAGCGTTAAGATTTCCCCTCCCTGGAACTAAGGGGCCTAGCCCGAACCATGAAAAACAGCCCCAGACCATTATTCCTCCTCCACCAAACTTTACAGTTGGCACTATGCATTGGGGCAGGTAGCGTTCTCCTGGCATCCGCCAAACCCAGATTCGTCTATCGGACTGCCAGATGGTGAAGCGTGATTCATTACTCCAGAGAATGCGTTTCCACTGCTCCAGAGTCCAATGGTGGCGAGCTTTACACCACTCTAGCCGATGCTTGACATTGCGCATGGTGATCTTAGGCTTGTGTGCGGCTGCTCGACCATGGAAACCAATTTCATGAAGCTCCCGACGAACAGTTCTTATGCTGATGTTGCTTCCAGAGGCAGTTTGGAACTCAGTAGTGAGTGTTGCAACCGAAGACGGTTGATTTTTACGCACTTCAGCACTGGTCGGTCCCTTTCTGTGAGCTTGTGTGGCCTACCACTTCGCGGCTGAGCCGTTGTTGCTCCTAGACGTTTCCACTTCACAATAACAGCACTTACAGTTGACCGCGGCAGCTCTAGCAGGGCAGAAATTTGACGAACTGACTTGTTGGAAAGGTGGCATCCTATGACGGTGCCACTTTGAAAGTCACCTGAGCTCATCAGTAAGGCCAATATTTGTCTATGGAGATTGCAAGGCTGTGTGCTTGATTTTATACACCTGTCAGCAATGGGTGTGGCTGATACGTGTGTGTGTGTGTGTGTATATATATAGTGTAGGTCAATGGTTTATTGCACAAGAGCAATTCAATGCTAATTCAGCCAGGAAGGAAGGCTTTTGTGAATGTGTCACAGTGCAATGTCAACTAGACCTGTCCGAAGTTAAAGGCCTAAGAATTAAATGGCAGGTCATACATGTTGTTTGTTCCTTGATGAATGTCAAACTGGGGCATAGGTTTACTAATTTTAATAAGAATACTTATATGGCATACAGTTTCACCTATTGAACTTTATAGAAAACGACAGCATGTGTACAATTATCTCACCATGATAAGGCAATAGGCCTAGTTGTAGCTATGCAGGTTCTGTATGTTAGTTAGTATTTGAAGCGAGTGAAAAAATATTTACACTGTCATGATGTGCCACTGTACAACTCTAGACTTACCGCTGAACTGTATATGGCTAACCTTCTCCACACCTCTTTGTGCATTGCCCTGTAGTTGTTTTTTGGATTCCTTACTCCTTTAAGCATAGCCACACAGGCCATGTGTGTTGTGAACCCACTGTTTCCCTCTGTGTATCTTATGTGCTGGTGTAGTTTTGTTTCACCCATTATCCTTAAGTGGGCCTACAGCTTTGATTGATTGGTCCTCATTTTTTACTTTCACTTGGAACACTAACTGGAAACCATGACTGGTGATCATAAATATTCCCATTATACCTACTGTCACAAGGCTCAGCATATTGTCCGTAATGAGAGGTTATGTCCGTAAATGACAGCAGAGTATTCATTCATGGCATGGGATATATTTAATAATATGCCATGTGCCATTTAGCAGATTGTTTTATCCAAAGCAATTTACAGTGCACTGAGTTCATACATTTTTTGTACATGTGATCCCAGGAGGAATCGAACCCACAACCCTGGTGTGACTAGTGCCACATTCTTACCAACTGAGCCACTCTGTGTGGACCAACTTACTTTAAGGCTTTGTGCATCTCAACTTCTAATTCAAAATTATTCTCCACCTCAACCAGTATTTCCTCAAAGGCTTTTTGCTCACTAAAGTAATTATCTTTGTCTTGCCACCCATCTTCCCAACCCTGATCAGCTGGAACATGCGCAGGTCACCCAGACGGAGCTGATGCGCGAGTCCTTCCGCCATAACCAGGAGATTGGCGATCTTCTGCGGCGGCAGGAGGATCTGCAGGAAAGGCTGGGGGAGGAGGGGCGCGCCCGCGAGCAGCTGGCTCTGGAGCTCCACAGGGCAGAGGGTGAGTGGGGGGATAGGTGTGTGTGTTTGTGATGGGGTTGTTTTACATTTGGGTGGATGGCAGTGAGGATGTCAGATGACAAGTGAATGTGTGTGTCTGGGGTTGTTTGTGGGGGATGGTGTGTGTTTTGGTGAGTCAGATGGCTAAGGGATCTGTGGGTGAAAGGGAAGTGAATATATGGAGAGAGTGTGTGTGTCAGGAACAGCTGACAGACAAGAGGGGTGACTGGTTCAAACATGTGACACAGCCCACCCAATTCACTAACAACGCTCAGTTCCGCACACTGTTAAGCAAATGAGGACACATCTTTTCATCCATTGGCTTGTTAATAGTAACATGTATAAGTGGTGTTAGTATTAATAGTAACAGGCATAGCAGTTTGGATCCATTGCCAACAGTTTGAATGGTGATTTGTTGCGAACATCGACTTAAGTGTATTCCTTTTGTAGTGTAAGCTAATGTCCTGCTATGGTGTGTTAGGCCTATGTATGTCAAATCAGATGGGGTTCTGAAGTATGGCAAATATTTGCTATCATAAAGTAATCTCCTCCCAACTGCTGCTTGATGTTTGCATGTGATCCACCGTTAAAATGTGCACCATCATTGTTGGAGTCTGGGATACGTCTTCATCTGTGTACGTTTCTTACATCTGAAATGCGACTCGCAGTAACAAAATTGAGTAAATACACACGGTCAAATGTAGCTGGACAAATAAGATAAAGATAGTAAATGTTGCTGCCTCTACATTTGGTTGGCATTTACTTTTTTTCATGACTCACACATAGGGTAGAATGACATTCTCATTCACAGACTCGTACACAAACAAAACAAAAGATCACCCAGATATCACGTGACCGGCAGTATTCGCCTACATATTTCAACATGCATTTCAGGCCTATAAAAGCTTTCGAAGACTCCTCCGAACACAAATTATGCTTTGTCTTCCTCCATTGTGTTTGCTCTCCCATCCACGTGTTCAAACACAGTTAATGTCAAGCTGAAATTATGCCCTCCTTTTGTCCTGTCTGATTCACTCTGTAATACCTAGCTCCTGTTGTGGTGTGGTGTGGAAAACTGCTTTCAATGAAGACGGAGGAACAGGCTTGCGGTTGCCTGATTTTGAAGATGTTCCATCCTGACAGAAACCATTAGCCAGGCTCTGAGGACACTCAAGTTTCTCAGGGGGAGTTAGGATGTAATTCTGTATTATGTTTCGCAGAGGATAGGTTTACAGTAGAGCATTACAGAGAGACATAGGCCTATAGGAAATGGAATGGCATTGTGATGCCATTGTGGACAATTGTTGCAAGAGGGGTGTGTTTATACAATTATGTGCAAAGATTACTCATTTGGTAAGAGTGTTGGCCATTATAAAAGTTTTACAGTCTTTAATGCAAGGAAGTTGATGTGTGTATGGCAGGGTCAGCACTGTAGTTAGTTTGTTTTGCAACCTGATGGATGGTGCTCTATTTGCACCTAATCATACACAATCTGTTTCCATGAGACAGAGACAACATAGTTTCTTCCATGAGACAGAGACAACATAGATTATCTCATGAGACTAGGAAATGAAAGGGGTTAACTAGCCAGTTGCACAACTCAATGCATTCAACCGAAATGTGTCTTCTGCATTTAACCCAACCCCTCGGGGGCTCCCTTAATCAACGTCCACGTCATTGGCGCCCGGGGAGCAGTTGTTGTTGTGGGTTGACTGCCTTGCTCATGGGCAGAACAGCAGATGTTTCCACCTTCCACCACCGGCTCGGGGAATTGAACCTGCGACTTTTCGGTTACTGGCCCAACACTCTTAACTGCTAGGCTACCTGCCGCCCCTAGAGCCTTGTACGTTTCAGTCTTAAGGGATTCCATCCCAAAGGTGAGAAAATTAGTTTTGATCAGTCAAGGAAATAAAAGTTCTAAAAACATGTTGGCTCACTATTTAAAAAGAAGATGGAAAACAAGCTATAGGATGAAAAATTGCTGAGTTTTGGCGCCGGTACAGCAGACTTACGCTATCTAACGCTACCTAGCAACAAAACAAATAAATATAATTTGAGTAATATATATCGTCCAAAATAATATTGCGATATGTAAGTGTATAAAACATGTTTTTCACCCCATGACTACCCAGAGGGCAAAACTGCAATTTCTAGTTGTAATGGAATCATGTCAACCAGTTTTGACTGTTGCAGTACCGGGTAGGAGGGTGAAGCCAGGTGGCCATCACAAGCTTCCAGTGTTAGGAAATATCAGACATAATCTGATATTATCAAGATGCATATAGGCTTCATGACTGTGGTTTAATAAAATGACATGATACTTAAGACCAGAGCCATCTCATCAGTAGTCTAATATCACCTTTATTTTTGTCAGCTTTATTATAAAATATAAAACAGTGAATTGATGGTTGGTGGATTGACCAGAGGAATGCAGATCCGAGAGTGCTGAGTTTCTGGTGAATGCCAAAGTTCTCATCTTGCCACGAGAGCAGCATTCCAAATTTCAGCGTACGAGTTAGTTAAGACATAATGAGTTATTGTTTAAACTACTCTGATGTGGTTTTAGTTCTGGTAGCTAACGTGGAGCATAGTTACAAGTGATCAATTAATATAGTGTTGCCGTGCTCGTAAACCTTGATCATTTAACACGCAAACAACATTTGTAAAGATGACACTAGCTAGATTACCAAATGCATAAAAACAATATGCGCATTTTCCCACCAGAGATGTTCCATCAAATTGACTTGTTGCGGATAAAAGACTGCGTAATGAGGTAGTGCGCATAAAAATAACTTTGGCGGTTAAATTCCCAAGTTAAATGGGTTTCCATCGCATTTTCAACTCTACTGATGGTTTTGTCACTAAAAATGTTGCGTTGGTCATGACACGTAGGCTATAGCCAACAGCTCGCAGATACAGTGCGGCTATAGCCTAGATGCGATTATTATGAACAAAATAGCAAGATTATTTTGATTTGTCAAACGGCAGCCAAGCATCGATCATCATGTCACCAGAATAAGACCCTCGATTGGGAAGCAGCATCAAACTCATCACCCTGCACTTTCAACGCCCTGTGAAGTTCATCATAACTTATTTCACCTGTAGCCTAATAAACTGCATGCTTTCCGGAGTCGTAGTGGGAGGACCACACAACATATCGCGTGACTCCAAGTTTACTTCGATATGATGGTTATTGATATCAATATTTGCGCATAAAAGCGTTTTCCATTTCTCGCATAATTAATTTTACAGACACAAAAAGATCCCACCTTGCCAGGCCGTCATTGTAAGTAAGAATGTGTTCTTAATTGACTCGCCTGGATACGCCTGGATAAATAAAGGTTCAATAATTTTGTTTTGTCAACATTTGGAAAGTTACCAACAAATGTGCTGTTTCCATCAGGGCTGTTTATCCGATATGTACTTTACTCGCATAAAAGGTTTGATGGAAACCTGGTTAGTGACAGCATTGAAATCTTTAAGCGTATTCACCTGACCTATTTAGTCTAGCTACTACATACTAGTACTAGATAAGATTTCATTAGGCATCTCTATCAGATCTTTGGGAACATTGCTAGTGTGCAGTCATAATAATAGAAATAATATGCCATTTAGCAGACGCTTTTATCCAAAGCGACTTACAGTCATGCGTGCATACATTTTTTTTGCGTATGGGTGGTCCCGGGGATCGAACCCACTACCTTGGCGTTACAAGCGCCGTGCTCTACCAGCTGAGCTACAGAGGACCACATGTCTTCCAAACAGATTTATCATCAGCTGAATTACATGCCAGTAGTGCATTTACCTAGTGACCTGTAACAAGATGGGTAATAATATAATATTTAAATGTCTTTGTTGGCAGCATAGCCCTCTAGAGTACACTCTGTCAAGCAAAATGGGTCGGACATTCTGCATGTGTTTGTTTGTCTGAATATTTGTTTGTGTTAGGGCTGGGCGATATATCGAATTAATTCGAATGTATGTTTTAGCGTGATGTTCCAAATGCCTGTATCGCAAGAATTGAGGTTTTACTTTTTTCCCGTTATTATGGGTCTCGTTTCCTTCGCTCCTTCTGTGTTGTGTGCACTGTGCACCTTCCCACTCGCACACAGACACCAAGCCCCTCCCACTGCCACTCACAACAACAAAGAGATTAAAGATAATTTTTTCCTCTCTGACAACAAGCAGTTTCAACTCGCTATTTGCTTTTGAGGTTTGGTCCAACATAATCGGTCATATGGACACCGAAACACATTGAGACATTATTTCACTGTAATAGAGGATAACTAACCCTTTGTAACAATATCCTTTATGTCTCAACTTCCAAAATGTTGAACAGTACAGACCCTATTAAGACGGAAGTATTAATGAACATGATTATAGAAAATGAATGCTCAGTTTCTGTCGCACACAGTTGTCTAGTCTATGTTTTATAAATGTGCAATGAGAAATAATCTTCTTATCCAGGTAGGCCACTTGATTTCAACATCTAAACAAAGTGAACAGGCTATGTTGTTCAAACAGTTGGAGACTGACAGGAGGGTGTATTCATAAATGTTCAACTATTCTACCTTGTTAGCAAGCAAATAGATCCAAGTTGGCTAGACTTTAAATATAAAGATTAGCTGGCTACTCACTAGCAGTGGGCTTGTGCTTGAGAGATTGTATATGAGACCTGTGTTAAATTTCTATAATGCCTGCTAACAGAGAAGTTGGTCATTATTAGTGGATGTGCATTGTGCTTGGTTCTGGTTTTATTTGTAATAGAAAAAGGCATTTTCATAGATAGCCATGAAAGCCAGATCAGTTTATTGCAAAAAAGCAGGTTAAACTATTTTAATAAAATAATTAAATTATTAGTGGGTGTTATGGTTGAAGACTTATATTTAGCATAAATATACTTTTACAAAACTTACCGATACGGATATCTGCCGATCTACTGTTTTACAGCGAGGAAAATTTAAAAGTGAAATTTTTCACACAGAGTTCTCAGAAATTGCAATCCAAAGAGCAATTGTCCAAGAAATATACATAAAATGTTGATTTCTTACCTTGTGACAAAAGTGATGCATCATGAGAATGGATGCAAGTGTTCAGATAACCATGAGATTACCATTTTTCATCCTATTTATTGAATATTGGTTATCGGTAGAATTATCGGCCGATATCAATATATCAGGAAAAAGGTCAATATCGGCCGATAATACCGGTGAACCGATATATCGGTCGGGCTCTAATTATGTGTGTGACGTGGCAATATGTCATTCAACGGTCTCTATATATTAATACCCCCTCTCCTCTCTCTCTCCCCCTTAGGTCTGATTGATGGCTACACGGGTGAACAGGCCGCACTGGAGGAGCAGGTGCGTCAGAAGGAGGAGCTACAGCTAAGCCTGGAGCAGGAGCTGCAGGTGAGACACAGGCCCAGTCTATAACCACCATTATCACTGTGTTTTATAACCGTTGAGGTCTTTGTCATAATGATGGAATTTCAACCAGTTATGCCTACTTGGTAGGGTTGCAAAGCTACTGGTAGTTTACCAAAGTTACCGTAATCTTAAGTATTTTTGGTAATTAACAGAAAATATATGGCAATCTATCGTAACTTTGGTCATTTATACTTTAACTTTTTTTTTTTTAAATGTATTTATTTATAGTATTCATTTTTTATATCAGCCTCCATATTGTCCATGAATTTCTAATAGATAGATCATATGGTTCTAGAGAAAATAGACTAAATATACTGAAACAAGCATCTAATCAGCAATGGCATTATTTTCAATTAACTCTGCAACTCTTGCAACTATTGACTTTTTTCACAACTGCCACCAGTTTGGCACCAAAACATTGACAACAAATACATTTACATTTAAGTCATTTAGCAGACACTCTTATCCAGAGTGACTTACAAATTGGTGCATTCAATTTAGGATAGCCAGTGGGACAACCACCCTTTTTTTTTTCTTTTAATGGGGGGGTGTCAAATAAATAAAAGTGTGTGAAAAAATATATAAAGGATATTTCATGCTGAAACCGTCATATTAAACAACAACGGTATTCACTAATATAAGGATATTTTACAGCTTTCATTCTATTTTTTATTTGAAAATCATCGTATTTAATTATTTCATGTATTTTACATGTGAGAAGGACATACAGAGGGCCAGAGATAATTAAGACACCTGTCAAAATCTGAAGTACCCAAAAGGGCCACTAGATGTCTTGTGATGGATTACATAATTTTTTTTATTTTATTTTATTTATTTAACCTTTATTTAACCAGGTAAGCCAGTTGAGAACAGGTTCTCATTTACAACTGCGACCTGGCCAAGATAAAGCAAAGCAGTGCAATAAAAACAACACAGAGTTACATATGGGGTAAAAAACATAAAGTCAAAAATACAACAGAAAATATATATACAGTGTGTGCAAATGTAGCAAGTTATGGAGGTAAGGCAATAAATAGGCTATAGTGCAGAATAATTACAATAGTATTAACACTGGAATGCTAGATGTGCAAGAGATTATGTGCAAATAGAGATACTGGGGTGCAAAAGAGCAAAATAAATAACAATATAGGGATGAGGTAGTTGGGTGGGCTAATTTCAGATGGGCTGTGTACAGGTGCAGTGATCGGTAAGATGCTCTGACAACTGATGCTTAAAGTTATTGAGGGAGATAAGAGTCTCCAGCTTCAGAGATTTTTGCAATTCGTTCCAGTCATTGGCAGCAGAGAACTGGAAGGAATGGCGGCCAAAGGAGGTGTTGGCTTTGGGAATGACCAGTGAGATATACCTGCTGGAGCGCAGACTACGGGTGGGTGCTGCTATGGTGACCAATGAGCTAAGATAAGGCGGGGATTTGCCTAGCAGTGATTTATAGATGGCCTGGAGCCAGTGGGTTTGACGACGAACATGTAGTGAGGACCAGCCAACAAGAGCGTACAGGTCACAGTGGTGGGTAGTGTATGGGGCTTTGGAGACAAAACGGATGGCACTGTGATAGACTACATCCAATTTGCTGAGTAGAGTGTTGGAGGCTATTTTGTAAATGACATCGCCGAAGTCAAGGATCGGTAGGATAGTCAGTTTTACGAGGGCATGTTTGGCAGCATGAGTGAAGGAGGCTTTGTTGCGAAATAGGAAGCCGATTCTAGATTTAACTTTGGATTGGAGATTCTTTATGTGAGTCTGGAAGTTGAGTTTACAGTCTAACCAGACACCTAGGTATTTGTAGTTGTCCATAACATCCTTGAAAGATACCAAAATTCTGGTAGTTTACTGGTAAACTTAGAAAGTTTGCAGTAATATACCCTCCCTTTGCAAGCCTACTACTAGGTAAATATTTTTTGTCCAATATATCTCAAAACCTCTCCATGCAGATTTAAAGAAAACAGTGGACAATTATGTTGCAAGTTGTTTCCCATCTGTTTAAAATGTTACAGCTATGTTGGGCAACTTAGCACACTGCAAGGGCAGTTTTTTTGTGCCTGAGTCTGTGTTTTTAATTGGCTAACCACATTGTCAACCTGCCTCTAACTGAATATTATTTGCTCCTGCAGGTGACAAGCAGCCGCCTACACGAACTGGAGCAGGAGAGGCTGCAGATGCAGGAGGAGCGAGAGATACTGTCACGGCAACAGGATGCCATGAGGGAGCATGCGGGCCCGCGTGAGTTACGTATGTACCCCACCACTTACTCGTTGTTGGATCTGAATGGAACAAAATATACAGTTTGACAAACATTCAAATATTGCTTGTGTTTTCTAGACCGTGAAATAATGGTGAGAATGTTACTTTCATATCATGTAAAGTGTATTGGATATGCACAATGCCTATTCCAATACAGATGCTCAAAAACATGCAGTTGGTGATACTAGAGAACTATGACTACTTCTTTATGACATCACTACTCGAAAGAGTGGGCAGAGTGTGAAGTGGGGGTTATATCATTGTAATAGAAATACTAGTATTACTGAGAAAAGCCCCTCAGACCATGGCAATTTGACATGTCCGTTCTAGTAATTATATTTCTGTGGGTCCTATGACGAAGATAAACAGGCCCATGTTCTTTTGCAAACATAAGGTTGGTTTATTTCCTTGATTAGATCTACATTTGACTATTTGTATGACTCATTGTCATCGTCATCAGCCACTCATTGGTATCATCTTATCACTCAATGACGTTTTAACCATTTTAATTATGTTTCAAATCCTTTGTAATTTTAATTTATATACTCTGTTATTACTGTACTTTACTGAATTCCTATAGAAAGGGTGACCATGATGATTAATTCATGTTGTAATGAAGTTTGCAATTGATCATTGTTTTTTGATGGAAATCCTCTGGGATAAAACGGAATCCTGGAACATTTGTAACCCAAGCACCGCATCTGACAAAAGTCTCACCTGGGTCATGTTCATTAGGCACCAAACGTAAGAAAGTGGACTGAAACAGGGAGGAATACCTTGACTTGACCAATAAGACACACTTGTTTTCCTTTCCAAAACATTTTAAAGCATTTTCAGCTGCATTACCTCCATCCAGTACTATTTCAAGGTATTCCATAGGTTAATGAACAATCCCTAATGAAAAGGCAAGTAATACAGCAAGGACATGAATTCAATGTACACGGAGCCATTTCAGTAACACCTCACTCCTGCTCTCACCTCACGGCATTGGCTCATCCATCCTCTGCCGACACAGCTTTAACCAATACCACAACAGCACATGCAGGGAGGCCCCGCCCTCTCATTTTTTCACCTCTCGCATCATTTCTCCTCAAGTCTTCCTCCTTTTTATGACAAAACAAGTGCATGTTGAAATACTGTGCTTTCTTATTCCTATAGGCCTAGTTGAAGCTGCAGTCGATGCAGCACCTGAAGCAGGTGTGTCCCACATCAGAGCATGGCCAGTCTATCTATGTTACTTTTTAGTCTGTAGTCGAGTGGCACTTCACAAATATATTTTTTTAACCCCCAAATACAGCAACTCACAAAAAAAGCTTGGCGCTTGCTTGCTATGGGCTCACTCACTCAATCACTAACCCTTGCTTACGCTTTTTATTTTTGATTCACTTTTCTATGTCATGGTTTGTCATGTTAATGTCTCATGAGTCAGCGTGATCATTCTCATGTTATTTATGATTGAGCATGATTGAAGGAATCGGATGAGCTATATTTTGATACATGATACTGTAAGCTTAAGTATTTCCTCATTGGCAATCATCTTTGCTCCTAGAGTTAAGCTAACCCTAACCTTACTTCACATTATCCATGCTAACATCGTGACAATGTCCACTACCTTTGGAGTTAAGATGATTGCTCAATTAGGAATTTGCCTGTAAATGCGTATGAGGCATGGATATTGCAACGTCTCAGCACTGTCTACGTGCTTGTTCTGTGGTTTGCACTCTCTTACCCTTTTATCTGTTGTACTAATACAATGGGGGTTTTGATCTCCTGGGTAAAGCAATGTTGGTTGGTTTAATGTTGGTTGGTTGGTTGGTTGGTTAAATGATGGCAGCGGATTACTAAAGGGATATGTTGGCTATATGCTGGGAAGATACTGGGAGTAAGATTGTTAGACCTGTTATATACAGTAGCTACGTGATGCTGAAATGGCGGACTGTATTGGGGACATTTTGTTAAAAGCAGCCAACTCAATACTGTAATGATTTTAAAATGAATAAAACACCAATTTAGAACTTCTGAGACAAAAACAGCTAAATATACTTAGATTTTACATGAATAGTAAGGCTGTAACTGATTTTCGGTTTATCGACCGACAGTCCACAACAACTCCATCTCAGCATCCTGTCCTGTCCATTGCCTGAATGAAACCTGTATGTCCAAAATCGTTGACTCCTCCCATCTGAAGCGACCTTGTGTGTGACGACTTCCTTCCATCCTTCCTTCCCTCCCTTCACCCCAGACCTCCTGGAGGAGACGGAGAAGCTGATGGCTGAGAAGGTAGAAGTGCAGCGGCAGGCAGAGAAGGAGAGCCTGAACCTCCTGCACCAGGTGAAAACACTGGAGGCTGAGCTGGAGGAGCAGGTCAACCGCGTCATCGAGCTGGAGCATGCCCGCAAGACTGAGAGCGGCGACCTGCTGCAGCAGATCCAGGCCCTGGAGAAACAGCTGGAGAAGAACCGGAGGTTCCTGGATGTAAGAGAAAGAGGGGAAGGGAGATATGAGGGAGGGGGGATGGATGCATGACTGGATGGATGGATATGGATAGAGAGATGAGAGAGATGGATGGATGAATGGGGAGAGAGGGAGGGGTGGTTGGGAGAGGACCATAGGAACTATATTGTTTAAAGGTATACAGATGTACATGAATGTTATATGAATGTGCATGTTGTTTTTTGGGGATTAGGCAGTGCATAAAGCACTAAACTTGATACATAATTTATTCATCATCCATGCATTTCTTGGGGTCAGTCAGATTGGCACTGAAACAGAGAGATGTTTCCCATTTATAATTTAATTTGATATGTTATGGGTATTTCCCTTAGCTACTCTCCTTTAAAGGCGTTGTCTTAAAATCTGATCCCCAGGAGCAGGCCATCGACCGGGAACACGAGAGGGACGTCTTCCAGCAGGAGATCTTGAAACTGGAGCAGCTGCTAAAGAACAGCCAGAAGCAGCAGCCCGGCTCTGAACAAAGAAGCAGAGAGGTAACAGTTAATGGCCCCAGCATTGAGCCCTGTGGGACCCCACAGGCAGTTTCTCCCTCCTTTTGTTCCCTCACAATGGACTGTTGTGGCTCTGTACACGAGGGCTCAGTGTCAGCCAGGACAATGGGGAGGTAGAATTACCTGTGGTTACCAGAATATGATCCCAGACTAGTCAAACTGGAACTGTTGCATCAACATGTGTTGTGAAGGATAATGGACATACAGTACAGTGGATATAAAAAGTCTACACACCCCTGTTAAAATGCCAGGTTTTTGTGATGTAAAAGAATGAGACAAATCATGTCAGAACTTTTTCCACTGTTAATGTGACCTATAATGTAAACAATTCAATTGAAAACAAATTGAAATCTTCGAGGGGGAAAAATGAAAAATAAAAACCTTACAATAACCTGGTTGCATAAGTGTGCACACCCTTAAACTAATACTTTGTTGAAGCACCTTTTGATTTTATTACAGCACTCAGTCTTTTTGGGTAGGAGTCTATTAGCATGGCACATCTTGACATGGCAATATTTGCCCACTCTTCTTTGCAAAAGCGCTCCAGATCTGTCAGATTGCGAGGACACCTCCTGTGCACAGTCCTCTTCAGATCACCCAGAGATGTTCAATTGGATTCAGGTCTGGGCTCTGGCTGGGCCATTCCAAAACGTTAATCTTCTTCTGGTGAAGCCATGCTTAAAGGTGGAAAAAGTTCTGACATGATTTATCTTTGTCTCATTCTTTTACATCACAAAAACCTGGCATTTTAACAGGGGTGTGTAGACTTTTTATATCCACTGTATATGCTGGATGGGGTTTTGTTGTTCCGTTTTTTCGGGGCGAGGGCTTGGTGATATTATTATTATTTTTTAACTGTGAGGGGGTTGTGGATATTATGTGATTGTAATGCATTTTGTAGAACTAGTATTTAAGGCTTTTTTATGGAATATTTTATTGAACATAATAGGTTTTAACAGTGGTTTTGTCCTTGTCACGGAACACTTAATATATTTTGTATCTTTCGAATAAAGCAGTGTTCATGGAGAGGTTGTAGCTATCTTTCTCTAGTAAATATCATTAAATATTTCATTACGATATTTCTGCTGAGCATCATCGTCATCTGGACTATGGAGGTCTGTCTTTGCATTATAATGGCATGTGCTATCATAACAGCTGTGATATACTGCTTGTCTCTGGTTTACTGTACGTCAACTGAGTTGTTGTGGCTAGTTTCTGTGGTCAGAGTCTTCAGCTGTATTATAGTGGCATGTGTTGTGGAAACTTTTCACTAAAAGTCACTCAGAATTAGTTGAATTGAATTATAGTTGTCTCTTTTTAAACATCATTATAGATTCTGTAGTGGCCTGTTTTTGCTAAGCTAAATGCATTTAGCTTTTCACAGCAGCCTTTCTCTGCTATCATAATCTTAGCGCGATTCCTTCTCCCTCCACCTGCGCCTATTAGTCACTGCTATGCTCATTAAAGGCCATTCTCTCTCCCTCTCTCTTTCCTCCTCTTCCTCTTTCCTCCTCTCTCCCTCTCTTTGCCTCTCCTATGGCAGGTGGATCAGCTGACCTCCCAGGTATTGCTATTAGTTGCATTGAAACAGCCTCTCTCTCTCTATTAGCGACACTCCATCAGCTGCATGGTAGCAACCTGTCATTGCAAACCATGTTAGAGCCCCCAACTTTCACTTCCTCTGTTCTCTTTCTCCTTTTTGTCCCTTTAAATATTCCTCTGTCGACCGTAGCAGGTGGATCCTCTGCCCTCCCAGCTATTAGTGCTGCTAGCGTCATTGAAAAGGCACTTCTATTAAAGATCATTAGCTGCACTCAAACCCCACCTCTCCCTCCCTCTTCCCCCCTTTCTCTCCTCTTTCCCAAATCATCTCCCTTTCTCTACCATGTAGCAGGTGTGGATCCTCTGACCTCATAGAATTGCTCCCGTTTACATTAAAACTGCCGTTGTTCAGCCGCACCATAGCATAACCATCCTTGTTTCTGCTTCCCTTCTGCTCCTCTGCTCTCCCACACGGCAGGTGGCTCAGCTAATCCAGCAGCTATTGCTAGTAGCTAGCGTATACTGAAATGCAGCCTCTCTCATATTGAAGCATATAATCCATTCTGCATAATGACTTTCTTTGCCATCCTTGCCGAAGCTCTCCTCTTTCCCTCTACCCCCTAGTGATGGGGAAAGAAATCGATACAGTTACATATCGCAGTATTATTTTTGGACAAAATTATATCGATACTTTGACTCCCAAGTATTGATTTGTAAAATACATTTGAAATGTTTTGCTACGTAGCATTAGCTAGCACTATTTGGCTGTACCTGCGCCAAAACTCTAGTATTTGTCATGCTATAGCTTGTTCTCATCTTCTTTTTAAATAGTGAGCCAACATGTTTACAGCACTTTTATTATCTACTTTTCTCATGCTCTCTCTGAGCAATATGTTTGGAACATCAAATTGCAATAAAATCGCAGTATCGAATAGCAATACATATAGAATTAGGAGAATCGCAATATATATCGTATCGGCACCTAGGTATCGTGATAATATCGTATCGTGAGGTCCCTGGCAATTCCCAGCCCTACTACCCCCTCTTTCCCTCCCTCTCTTCAAAACGGCAGGTGGATCAGCTGACCTCCCAGTTACTGTGTTGTGTTGCTACTAGCTAGCCACATTGATACATTGAAGATACAGACTGTACGATCCTCACTGAAACCCCTCTTTCCCTCCTTCTCCTCCCTCTCCTCTCCCCTCCTCATTCCTCTCCTCTCCCAGGTGGATCAGCTGACCCAGCAGCTGAGGGAGAAAGCGGACTGGTGCAGCGAGCTGCTACTGGCGTCTGAGCAGTTGCAGCGCGAGGCGGGCGAGCGCAACGAGGAGATCGACAAGCTGGAGGGCCGCATCCGCGAGCTGGAGCAGGCTCTGCTGGCCAGCACAGAGACGGTGAGAGAGACGAAGGGAGGGGGGGGTGGATGAAGTGAGAGAGAACAACGGAGAGGAAGATGAAACAGAGAGGAGAGGGACAAGGAGAAAAAGAGAGCGTGCAAAAGAGAGTGCAGTGGGGAGAGTTAAAGGTAGCTAGAAAGGGAGAGAGAGACTCCTCCTACTCATTCCTGCTCTGCTGTTGATGATGCTGTGTTAAGGTTAGCGGGGGTGTGTGTGAGAGAATGACAGCGTGAAGCTACATGTGCATATGGGTGTTTGTGTGTGCATTAGTAAGAAAGGAGGCTGAGTGTACAGACAGTACCTGACGTCATGGCTGAGAATGTGTGTGTGCCCATAATAATGAGTACTGCAACCAAGTACTGCATGTGTCAAATTCGTTCCACAGAGGGCCGAGTGTCTGCTGGTTTTCACTCCACCCTTGTACTTGATTGATGAATTAAGGTCACTAATTAGTAAGGTACTCCCCTCACCTGGTTGTCTAGGTCTTCAAAAACCAGAAACCTGGCCTCCCGAGTGGCGCAGTGGTCTAAGGCACTGCATCGCAGTGCTAGCTGTGCCACTAGAGATCCTGGTTCGAGTCCAGGCTCTGTCGCAGCCAGCCGCGACCGGGAGACCCATTGGGCGACACACAATTGGCCCAGCGTCATCCAGGGTAGGGTATGGCCGGCAGGGAGGGAGGGATGTTCTTGTCCCATCGCGCACTAGCGACTCCTGTAGTGGGCCGGGCGCAGTGCACGCTGACTCGGTCGCCAGGTGTACAGTGTTTCCTCCGACACATTGGTGCGGCTGGCTTCCGGGTTAAGCGGGCACTGTGTCAAGAAGCAGTGCGGCTCGGTTGGGTTGTGTTTCGGGGGACGCACGACTCTCGACCTTTGCCTCTCCCGTGTCCATACGGGAGTTGCAGCAATGGGACAAGACTGTAACTACCAATTGGATACCACGAAATTGTGGAGAAAAAGGGGGTAAAATACCAGGGGGAAAAAATAAATACAAAATAAATAAAAAACGCAGACACTCGGCCCTCCGTGGAATGAGTTAGACACCCCTGAAGTACTGCAACCAATATCACTGTTGGCAGGCTGAAACAGAGCAGTGAAAGAAATGTCCCCATACCTTGCTACTGCCCAGATGATTAAGTGCATGAGATCGCAGCTACTGTATATGATGTATGGCTGTGTGTGGCTATCCTGAGATTTGAGTGTGTGCTTGTGTATTATTGCGTGTGCTTGTGTGTGTACATATTTGCTTGTGTGTGCGTGTGTGTGTTCGCCACATGTGACTGGTTGCTAAATAATAATGTTGTGTGTGTGCATTGCGTGCATGTGTGTTTCAGGTGGAGGATAAGAGGCAGCATGTGTCTGTTAGTGAGCCTGGGGACTCCTCACTGGAGGCTCAGCTACAGACTGAAAGAGAGGCACTGGACAGGAAAGAGAAAGAGGTAATGTATTGGTCTTATGGGGGGTTTCTTTCTTTCGCATGTTTGGAAGAGAATTTATAAGTAGCCAATCCAGCACAGTGTCAAAGCTAGCCAGCTAAAATCTCAATTGGTTATCACGTCCCCGATGATTTACAAAAAGTGGACCATTCCTCTACTTGTTGAATCCCTTTGCCCGCCATTTTTCACTTCGCCTCAAATCACACTCCTTCAATTACCAATAATGGGCACAACACAAGTCCCCACTTAGATTTCAAGTCCCCTGTTCATGTGTCGTCGCCCTGGTCCTCAGTTAGATAAATGAGAACACACCAGCCTGACTCCCCCCTTCCCACTCCTCCCCTCCAGATCAGTAACCTGGAGGAGCAGCTGGAGCAGTTCCGGGAGGAGCTGGAGAACAAGAGTGAGGAGGTGCAGCAGCTCCACATGCAGCTGGAGATCCAGAGGAAGGAGCTGAGCACCCAGCAGCAAGACCTGGAGACCAAGGACAGCCTGCTCCAGGTAACCGGCCACCACACAGCTAGGCTAGTACAGTGCATTCGGAAAGTATTCAGACCCCTTGACTTTTTCCACATTTTGTTTCGTTACCGCCTTATTCAAAAATTGATTAAATTGTTTTTTTTCCCTCATCAATCTACACACAATACCCCATAATGACAAAGCAAAAACAGTTTTTTAGAATATTTTTCCATTAAAATAAATATATATGAAATATAACATTTACATAAGTATTCAGACCCTTTACTCAGTACTTTGTTGAAGGACCTTTGGCAGCGATTACAGCCTTGATTCTTCTTGGGTATGACGCTACAAGCTTGGCACACCCGTATTTGGGGTGTTCCCATTCTTCTCAGCAGAGCCTCTCAAGCTCTGTCAGGTTGGATGGGGAACGTCGTTGCATAGCTATTTTCAGGTTTCTCCAGAGATGTTCGAACGGGTTCAAGTCCGGGCTCTGGCTGGGCCACTCAAGGACATTTAGAGACTTATCCCGAAGCCACTCCTGCATTGTCTTGGCAGAAGGACAACCATCTCTGCAGCACTCCACCGATCAGGCCTTTATGGTAGAGTGGCCAGACAGAAGCCACTCCTCAGTAAAAGGCACATGACAGCCCGGTTGGAGTTTGCCAAAAGGCACCTAAAGGACTCTTACCATGAGAAACAAGATTCTCTGGTCTGATGAAACCAAGATTGAACTCTTTGGCCTGAATGCCAAGTGTCATGTCTGGAGGAAACCTGGCACCATCCCTACGGTGAAGCATGGTGGTGGCAGCATTATGCTGTGGCGATGTTTTCAACGGCAGGGACTGGGAGACTAGTCAGGATCGAGAGAAAGATGAACGGAGCAAAATACAGAGAGATCCTTGATGAAAACCTGCTCCAGAGCGCTCAGGACCTCAGACTGGGGCGAAGGTTCACCTTCCAACGACCCTAAGCACACAGCCAAGACAACGCAGGAGTGTCTTCAGGCCAAGTCCTTGAGTAGACCAGCTAGAGCCCAGACTTGAACCAACATCTCTGGAGAGAACTGAAAATAGCTGTGCAGCGACGCTGCCCATCCAACCTGACAGAGCTTGAGAGGATCTGCTGAGAAGAATGGGAACTCCCCAAATACAGTCATGCCAAGCTTGTAGCGTCATACCCAAGAAGACTTGAGGCTATAATCGCTGCCAAAGGTGTACAGAGTAAAGGGTATAAATTCTTATGTAAATGTGATATTTCAGTAATACATTCGCAAAAATGTCTAAAAAACTGTTTTTGCTTTGTCATTATGGGGTATTGATTGAGGGAAACAATAAGGCTGTAACGTAGCAAAATGTGGAAAAAGTCAAGGGGTCTGAATACTTTCCAAATGCGCTGTAGGTAACCTTAGCCCCCACACAGCCAGGCTAGCATGTAGGCAGCCTCAGCCACAGCGCAAGGTAGCACGTCGGTAGCATTAGCCCCCACACAGCCTGGCTAGTATGTAGGTAGCCTCAGCCACAACGCTAGACTAGCATGTCGATAGCTTAGCCAACACACAGCAAGGTTAAAATGTAGATATACCCAAACCAGACAGTTAGACTAGCAGCTACCAGGTAAAACACAACAAATAAGGATACCATGTACTTCAAGCTGCAAGCACACAACAATCCAACATATATTGGTAGCCTCAGCCACGAAACAAGGCTAACATTTACTATAGCAGCAGTTCCCAGACTAGGGGTCGTAACCCCATGTGGGGTCACCTGATATGAAAATGGGGTTGCGGGAGAATTTCCCAAATCCTGGAGAAATTTGTTTTGTGTGTATATATATATATATATATATATATATATATATATATATATATATATATAATCTTTGTATCTCAAAGTCATTGTAATGTGGTTAACCTTAAAAATGTAAATGAAAATGATTAAAATCAAAAATATATAATTCTACCAGAGAGCACTGTTAGTTCATGGGAAAGGCACACTTGACCTTTGCTCTTGAATCATTCCCACAGTGAATGGCTAGGCCTGATATGCTATGAAACCACACACTATTGCAGAGACTTTGATATTACCGGCCGCAATTGATATGGTGAAAACAATGTGTGGGGAGGCAGAGGCACAGAATACCTTTGTCAGATAACAATGTTAAATGAAGAATTTATGCTATTGCTAGCAATCAAGAGGAAACTGATTGAACGACTCAAAACCTCCCCAGCTTATGCTCTCCAAATGGACGTTAGCTGCGAGGGCCGAGATGCCCATGCATTGACTTTTGTTCGCTATACATGTCGGCGGATGCTATTCACGAGGACATATTGTTCTGTCTCACGATTCCCGAGCATGAAACGGCACAGGGGATGTTCAGTGTGCTGCGTTGCTATATTGACGAAAAACTGATTCCATGGGATCGAATGGTGGGCTTTTGCACAGATGGGGCTCCATCTATCATGGGACAGCGGGCAGCCCTCTGCACTCTAGTTATGAATGTCTCCCTCTGCCATATGGATGCATTGTATGATACACCGAGGGCAACTGGCGGCCAAAGAGCTGAGCACAGAACTCTGGGATATACCGCAGCAGGTAAACTAAATCAAACAACATCCACTGCGCGCATGCCTGTTTGCAGTGCTCTCGTCTGCATTAACACCAAATAGGCCTATCGATCCAGGTTGGATATGACAGCAGAGATGAGGTGCGCACTGTCGACCACGCCCCATGACTTTGAGACGGTCCTACACGACATGCATCAAGCACACCCATCTCATTAGTGGTGGTGAAATAAGAAGCATTATGTCAGACTGATTTGCAATTGACTGCCTCACATTAAAAGTATGTGATGGTGAGTTGAAGACAATCAGAAATACTGTTAGAATGTTTTTCAATTGACTGCCCCAATAAAAAAGTAAACACTGGCTGTTAATTACAACAACAAATAAATCACATTGATGGGGTTGTGAGAATTTTCAGATATCAAAATGGGGTCGTGGGCCAAAAAAGTTTGGGAACCCCTGTACTATAGGTAATCCTTAAACCAACAAGGTTGAGACATGGTATGCATCTGCTAAACAAAGCTACCTAAAGACAGACCATTCAAATGATATATCAAAGGATAAAACAAGTGTGCTGTATGGTAACCGTTGCTACACTACAAAAACATATTACAATGTTTATCGATACTAAAAAACCTGCTAAAAGATTCAAACCAGATGGGATGGCGTATCGCTGCAGAATGCTGTGGTAGCCATGCTGGTTAAGTCTGCCTTGAATTCTAAATAAATCACAGACAATGTCACCAGCAAAGCACACCCACACCATAACAGCTCCTCCTCCATGCTTTACTGTGGGAACTACACATGCAGAGATCATCCGTTCACCCACACCACGTCTCACAAAGACACGGCGGTTGGAACCAAAAATCTCTTTGATTCCATATGTGTTATTTCATAGTTTTGATGTCGTCACTATTATTCTACAATGTAAAATATAAAGAAAAACCCTTGAATGGGTGGGTTTGTCCAAACATTTGACTGGTAGTGTATATGCCACATTAACCAAAGCACCAAATATGGGACCTGTTGGGCTAATATTTTGGTGATAGGTAGTATCCCCACCCCAAAGATAAAGAAATCCCCCCCCTCACTGTTCCCTAATGTCTTAGTCCCAGTTTAAGGGTGATTGTTTTGTGTTGAGAGCCAGCAGATTATAATCTCCGACATATAATACATTTTTGAAGGTGATGGAGGAGAAGGACAGGGATATAGCGCTTCTTAATGAGCAGATGGCTAAGCTTCAACACACGGAAACAGCCCCTGACAACAAGGTAACCCCATATACATATATGTTAGACAGACCACTTCTGTTCTCATATATGTATATCTTTGTGATAGTGGATCACTGTGTGTGTTGTGTGACAGCCGTTCATTTTATTTGTTATTTTTGTTGTGGCGTAACCCACCATTTTATTTTAGGTTTTGGTAAGTAGGCCTCTGTTGTGTTGTGAATTTTTCTTTAAGTTGGCTTACTAAGGAGACACTTGGAACACCCTAGAAATGTCCAACAAATCAGAATTGGTACCTGAAGTAGCATTATTACAGTTGTCCCAACCTAAAATGTAACCTGATTGGCTGAGACTCATATTATCTATCACATAAATATTATCAGTATTAACTATATTGCCGTGGCACAACTGTGTCTCAGGTTTACTAGAAAGCATGAGCCGGTCTTTTTCCTCAACTTCATCCTTATTCCTACATACACTGCTACGTCCTTCCCTTCAGGAAATCGACGCGAGGGATGAGCTACTGCGGGAGCTGGAGTCCCAGGTGGAGTGCATGCGGAGCGAGCAGCAGCGCCTGAAGAGGAACAGCGAGGAGGAGCTGGAGCAGCTCAACGCCGTTATCGACAAGCTCCAGGAGGAGCTGGCCAACATCGAACGGAAGCAGTCCTCGGAGACGGACGAAGAGCTCAATGGCCAGTTGGAGAGCCAGGTCGGAGGTCCCAGCAAGGAGGATTACGACGAAATGAAGCAAAAGATGGACCTGGCCACCCAAGAGCTGGACACCATCAAAGCCGAGCACTGCTCGCTCCTGGAGAGGTACCGGTGCTTGCAGGAGAGCAAACTAGCATTAGCCGAGTCGGAAAAGGAGCTGTCGGACGACATGGCAATGGAGCTGCAAGACGCCCTGAGGGAGAAGACGGCGGCATTCGTAGTAGTGCAGGCTCAGATCCAGGCGCTGGAGCAGAGCGCCACCTCCAGGGTGAAGGAGCTGAGCCTTTGCGTCCAGGAACTTGAGGCCTGTGTCGCAGAGAGGGACTCTGAACTGACCCGCTGCCGGTTCCTGGTGGAGCGGGCCCGGGAGGACGCCGACGACCTCCAGCGCAAGGTCCAGGACCTGGAGGACAAGCTGAGGGAGAGGGTGGCGGCCGTGCTTGTCAGCCAGGCCCAACTGGGCGCCATCCAGCAACAGTCTCATCAATCGCAGGAGTCCAAGGGCCAGAGAACCAAAGAATCCGGCCACCAGGATCCCAGCGGACAGATGGAGGTACCAGACTTTTTGTTTGCAGGAATGTCCCACGCAGCGGAGATCCAAGGTGCCAAACATGGCCCCACTGGGAAGGTGGTCCTCCTGACGGAGAAGCTCCGCGAGCTGGAGGTAGGCCTGAGCGGCATGCAGAAGGACCAGGAGCTGCAGAAGCAGTTACTCTCCAGCTCCGAGGAGGTGGTGCTGGAGTACGAGAAGAGGCTGGTCTTGCTCATGGACCTGCTCAATCAGATGAGGACGACCAAGCCTGGTGGATGCCAGAGAACGTTTCCGGTCACAGAGGTAGGTGTTCAATTTAGCCTTCACTATTGCCTATGGGAGTTAGCTCTAGCCTGCACCGCCTCCTATGAATTTGTTTTAGGTGGGGTAGAGTTAGCCTGCGCTACTTTCCATGGATGAATGAATTCTCTTATGCCTACAATGCCTGTAGATGTTTTTCACAGTTTAAATGCTGACAAGCTGCTATCTCTTTGAACTCTGAACCAGACTGCATCTTTTGGAGGCAATGAGCCGGCTGTGTCTGAGATTCTACAGGAGCTACAGAAGGTAAGGGACGAGGCTTCGGCCACCAAAGAACAGCTCAGCAGTTACAGGGAGAGCAGCAATAAACTCCAGCAGGAGCTCAAGGTATGTAATATCACACTCAACAACCATGTTGGATTAATGCTCTATTATTATTGCATGAGAGGGAGTTACAATTATCACATATTTTCCTTTTCTAGGCAAAAGAGGGCGCAATAGCAAAGTTTCAAGAAGACCTTCAAAGGGTAAGAAACTAATGTGAAAGGGAGTTCCTCTGATTGCCATAGACACAGTACAATTCTACTTTGCCTTAGAGTTGCTAAAGTATTGCAATACTTTCTTTTTCTTGACATTATCTTAAATCCATTATCTTGAAATCCAAGTTCTAGAATTTCTATTGTCTAACTATTCCCCAGGTGTCATCGGGAGGCAGTGAGGCCAAGGTGTCGGAGCTCCATCGGGAGTTGAAGGAGGTCAAAGCGGAGGCTGCTTCCACCAAAGAGGAGCTCAGCAGCCACAGGGAAAGCTGTGACAAACTACGGGAGCTTCTACAGGTATGAACACAGTCAACCAGTGTTCAGCAAAGCAAAGAACTATGGGAGTCACAGTCTTCCAGTGCCAAACTGAATTGTTGATTTTGTTAATTGTCTATTTTCTGTGGATAAAAGTACATTTTGAAAATGTTGACCAAATAAGAAGTTGTATGTGTAGTCTTTTCAGTGATTAACCAATCCGACCATTTCATTTTATTTTTTTGTACCAAAGGAGAGAGAGATGACCATAGCACATCTCAAGGGAGAACTCTACCAGGTAAGTGTATCTTGCTGCAAGGAAGAATATTCCAACTCTACTCAGCAATATGGAAAATGATCTGACTATTGGCATGTCTTAACCAGTTAGGTGTCCCCTAACTTCACCTTTTGATAATCTCTGTCCTTTCACCTCCCAGGCCTCATTGGAAGGTGACGGTGCCTCCACATCCGAGCTTCTCCAAGAGCTCCAGGAGGTCCGAGATAAGGCAGCTGCTACCAAAGAACACCTGAACAGCTTCAGAGAGTGCAGCGAGAAACTCCAGACCGAACTCCAAGTCCGCGACCTGTCCATCGCTCAGCTCCAAGAGGAGCTACAACAGCTCAGAGTAGCCTTGGCGAAAACCGCAGAGTCACCATCACCACCATCACCACTATCCCCACTATCACCATCTCAGTCTCACTCACTCGAGCAGCAGCAAGCGCCACCCTCCCATCCGAAAAATAAAGGCTTCAAACCGCAAAACCAATGCCAAGGGGCCAAGGGAAAAATGGCCGCCGCTGCCAAAGACAAACCATCGCTCTCCAGGAAGAACTCTGTCGCGGCAAACCAAAAGTCTTCCGACAAATTGTCCGGTCCATCGGCTGGTCTTAATGGATCTCAGCGTCTGCCTCATACAGACGCTGGCACCCAGACGGATACATTTTCCTCCCAAACATCTGGCCAGCCCAGGTCTGTGTCGGAGGAGGAAGAGGTGGAGGAGATGATCGGGGAGTACCAGGAGAAGATCGTACAGATGCAGGAGCTGCACGCGGCAGAGATCCTGGACATGGAGGCCCGGCACATCGCAGAGAGTGAGGCCCTGAAGAGGGACGCTCAAATACTGGAGGAGGAGTGCAAGGCTCTCAAGACCGTCATCGAGAAGCTGCAACGCTCCCATGAGGTAAGTCCATTGGACGACATCTGGGTTGTGTTCATTAGGCACAAAACAGAAGTGAGTAACAGAACAAAAGACTACCTGGAAGCTTGTTTTTGTTTTCTGTTTGTTTGTTTTCTTCTGTTTGGTGCCTAATAAACATGACCCAGATGATGAGTTTGACATTTTTATGGGGGAGTGGGGAGGTAAAGGAACTCAAACTCTTCTGTGTACTGACCTGGTTTCATGCCCTCCAGGCCCCCTCATCGAGACCAGAGCGTCCCGCAGGATCGCAATTCAAAGACGGCTACACCAGTGGTAAGTTGATGTAGTGTCGCATAACGCACCTCCATGCCAAATGTGAGCCTCTGTATTCAATGCTATGCCGAATCGCTCTCAAGAGGTCACGTGTTTTCCCTAGTAATCACAATACCCTAGGCCAGGAATCATCAACTAGATTCAGCTGCGGGCCGATATTTTCTGGAGCGGATGGTCGGGGGGCCGGAACATAATTACAAATAATTTGTTGACTGCAAATTGACCTCAAGAAGCCCAAACAGATATAATATTTGACTAAAACATAATAATTTGTAACCTTGCTTACATTTGTATACGATCACGTGTCTCGCTATTATTCGTGGGAATACTTGGGAACAGAGTTCTTAAATGAAAATCACTTGGAGATGTTTATTGGGGGGGGGGGGGTGAATAAAACCACCCGCAAGCTAAATTTGGCCCCAGTTGGGGAACCCTGCCCTAGGCTATGTAACACCTTCACAATTATTATTTTTTAACTAGGCAAGTCAGTTAAGAACAAATTCTTATTTACAATGACGCCCTATCAAGAGGCAAAAGGCCTCCTGCGGGGACGGGAGATAAAATAAAATAAAATGTAGGACAAAACGCACATCACGACAAGAGACACCACAACACTACATAAACAGAGACCTAAGACAACAACACAGCATGGCAGCAACACATGACAACACAGCATGGTAAAATCAATGCATAAATTCACTATGTATGCAAAAGTAGGTGGACACCCCTTCAAATCAGTGGATTTGGCTATTTCAGCCACACCCGTTGCTGACAGGTGTATAAAATCAAGCACACAGCCTTGCAATCTCCATAGACAAACATTGGCAGTAGAATGGCCTTACTGAAGAGCATAGGATGCCACCTTTCCAACAAGTCAATTCGTCAAATTTCCGCCCTGCTACAGCTGCCCCGGTCAACTGAAGTGCTGTTATTGTGAAGTGGAAACGTCTAGGAGCAACAGCGGCTCAGCCGCAACATAGCAGGCTACACAAGCTCACAGTACGGGTGCTGAAGTGCCTAGCGCATACAATCGTCTGTCCTCGGTTGCAACATTCACTACCGAGTTCGTTGGGAGCTTCATGAAATGGGTTTCCATGGCCGAGCAGCCGCACACAAGCCTAAGATCACCATGCACAATGCCAAGTGTTGGCTGGAGTAGTGTAAAGCTTGCTGCCATTGGACTCTGGAGCAGTTGAAATGCGTTCTCTGGAGTGATGAATCACGCTTCAACATCTGGCAGTCCGATGGACGAATCTGGGTTTGGCAGATGCCAGGAGAATGCTACCTGCCCCTGTGGTAGAAATATTTGACTCAAAAGTAGTCAACTCAAAAATATCTCTCAAGAAACTGGAGCTTGTGAATCCAAAAATTAGACTTTTATTATCTAATAACAAAAGCCGAGCAGTTCCATGGAACGGCTGTCTCTCTTTGGCTTAGAGCTCCCTTTTATACACACACAAATGCACAAACATGCTTACATGGCATATACAGTTACTCCCCCTATGGCAAATTCCTAACTTATTTTAGTTCTGCACCACCCTTCTCTTTCAACGTCCAGCTGTCACACATGGTCCACTCCAAAAGGTCATGAATACTTTTCTATATGAAGCCTCTCATTTCTATTGGTTGCGTGGCTCAGGCCCTTTCTTAAAAAAGAATATACATACATTCATTTAAAACACAGTTACATACTGCATGGCTATATTCCTTATTTAAGCATGCATCTGGATTATAAAATATCAAACATGTTTATTATATTTTACCTTTGGCATCTCCCTACATTTGCCTTAATGATACATAAAATATCTCTATACCCCAATGCATAGTGCCAACTGTAAAGTTTGGTGGTGGAGGAATAATGGTCTGGGGCTCATTTCCATGGTTCGGGCTAGGCCCCTTAGTTCCAGTGAAGGGAGATCTTAACGCTACAGCATACAATGACATTCTAGACAATTCTGTGCTTCCAACTTTGTGGCAACAGTTTGGGGAAGGCTATTCCCTGTTTCAGCATGACAATGCCCCCGTGCACAAGGCGAGGTCCATACAGAAGTGGTTTGTCGATCGGTGTGGAAGAATTTGACTGGCCTGCACAGAGCCCTGACCTCAACCCCATCAAACACCTTTGGGATGAATTGGAATGAGCCAGGCCTAATCACCCCTCATCAGTGCCCGACCTCACTAATGCTCTTGTGGCTGAAAGCCTTCCCAGAAGAGTGAAGGCTGTTATAGCAGCAAACTACCAAAGGACACTCCATGTTAATGCCCATGATTTTGGAATGAGATGTTCGACGAGCAGGTGTACACATACTTTGGTCATGTAGTGTATATACCATACAGTGTCAACAAACACAGAATTTCATGAGTCATGGCATGACTCTTTTGAGTTGATGCACATGTTTTCTGGTGTTTGTAACAATGGATGCTTTACATGACTTGAGAAAGTGTTATTTTGCATGCCCATTCAAATAGAGTTTTGCTTCCATTGATATGCAATGTTAACCTTGTGTGTACCCTATTGCAGACAGCTGTTCTGAATGGAGTCAGCGGACAGGCTACGACCTGCCTAACCTGCAGCAGGAGTTCAGGACCACGCCAGAGGGAGCCAGGAAAGAGACAGACGAAGCACTGCCTGACAGAATTAAGGTACAAGAACTGCATTTGGCAATGTAAAGTTAAGCATGTCTTTATATGGCAATCTGTGTATGTGAGTGTATTGGTGAAGATGTCTGGTTTGCACATGGTTTTATGTTTATGAGATGAATGTCTGTACATGTGTGTCCACTCCAGAACCTGCTCCGCGAAGTGCACCAGGAGGGCATGCAGGTGCTGTCCCTGTCAGCGCTGCCAATCCCAGAGGGCGAGGCTGACCCAGCCAGCCTGTTCCACCATGCCCAGGGCTGGCCCAAAGAGAGAGAGGCCTTGCTGGCCACCGTGGAGTCCCTCAAGGCCCTCATTACCCAGATTCAGACGCACAGCAGGGAAACACAGGTACAGTACTGGTAGCATTTGTACTTTGTAGCACGGATACTTTGTGCTGGTATCCTTTCTTCAATACAGTAGGGTTTATTTTTTTGGGTCGCAGATTAAATGAAACATAGCTTTTAAGGCTGAATTGAGCCTTCAGAAACCCTTTTCTCTCTCATTTTCTATAAATATGTGTGTCAATGTGCTTGTGTATGTTCAGACCCCAGGTAGTGCGGACTGGCGTGGGGAGCTGCTGGGGGCAGTGCAGCAGGTGTTTGTAAGGGAGCGGAGTGTGCTGAAGAGCGCCCTCTATGCACGACTGGACCAGCTGGACACTAGCGACGCGATCATCCACCTCAACCAGCAGGAGCACTGGCTAGCTGAGCAGGTAGCTAACAAACACTTAAAACTCAGGTTAGCCTCTAACCTTAGCGTTACCTGCTTATCTTATTATTAGCATATTAACTAGCTGGAGAGTGGGATATAGCCAACAGGTAACAGAAAAATATAGAGCCGTTTTAGTCTAGAGTCAATTTCTCCACTTTGTAGAAAAACTTGGTGGTCATATGCATTCGTGTACAGTTGTTTTTAAGTTCCAAGGCTAAACTGTGTCTGTATATCTACAGGACGCCCATCACAGAGATGCCATGGGGATGCTGCAGACTGCAGACAGAAGCAGTTTGCTGACAGAGGTTCGGCAGCTCCGGGCCCAGCTAGAACAAATCCAAGCCCAGGAGCCTGGCAGGAGAGGCAGATCCAATCAAGGTCTGTAGTCTGGCCCTCCAGTGGTTTCTTATGCCGTGTGTGTGTTAGTTGTAAGGACACATAGGGATGATGGATGAATGGCTTGGGGGTCTGAATGGGTGGGGGCTGGATGGATGGATAAATTCATTGATTTATTGACTGACTAATATCTATAGTAAATTGTCTTCGATGAGGTCACAGCTATTTCACTCAGTGCAACCAATATCATGAATTTAAAAAGGATAAACAGCAGCTGATTCTAATGCCTTGCATGTTGTTTTGTCCGGCTGTTTGTCCCACACAGGTGTTGAGCAGCAGAGGGAGAGAGGTGGTGTTCCGGAGCCCCACATTCTGCAGCAGGCTGACAGGGCTCTGCTGGAGGAGCTGAAGGGAGAGCTGGCCCAGACCAAACTAGAGCTGGAGTCCACGCTCAAGGCCCAGCACAAACACCTGAAAGAGCTGGACACAGTCAAGTAAGGTTTTAATGCACGCTCACACAGTTAGACGCATAAAAGAGCAGAACATTCTCAGGTAAGACTATTTAGAGATATACAGAAACAAACATTGACTTACACTCCCCTTCCCAGCCTTGGTATTACATACATGTGTAGTTTACCTTCCTAGTTGCTGTTGGATGGATCCAACCCGGTGTCTTTGTTTCTAGAACGGAGGTGTCACAGAAGGCTGCTGAGGTGGACACCCTGGCGGACAGACTGGCAGACGAACAGAAGAAGGCCAGAGAGCTGCAGTGGGCCTTTGAGAAGGAGAAGTGTAAATCAGACAAGAAAGAGGAGCTGGAGGTAATACAGTTTGTAGGAAAGGTAGAAGACTGTAATTTCACACAAGTGTGTTCAGGTATAATTGCCTACTTGTTTCCACGTCTTCACTTTAGTGTGTTTTACTTAAATGTAGTGTTTTACTGATATGTTCACCTTAGTCACTGGGGTATTATCTACTCAGGTGTGTTTCACAAGTATCTCTGTCTTTACACCCTGTCCCTCCAGGATCTCAAACTGGCCCTGGAGGAGCAGCAGAGTCACGTAGCCCAGCTGACCTCAGCCCTAGGCCAGGAGCGCCTGTCCACCTCCCAGCTGTCCCTCCAGGCCGAACAGGAGTGCTCCAGGTTGCAGACCCAGGCCTCACAGCTCCACGTCCAGCTAGAGTCGGAGCGAGCCCGGGCCCAGGAGCTGAGTAGTGCCCTGGAGAGAGAGAAGGAGCTCCGCCACCACGGCTCCTCCTGGAGAGAAAACCCAGAGGGGGAGGTGGCTGAGAGGGGGGAGGATGAAGTGGTGGGAGGGTCACTGTCATCCGAAGGTCTGCTAGAGGGACTGCAGAGGGATCTGAACAAGAAGCATGCTCAGGTGGGCTGTTTGTTTGTTTGTAGATGAAGCAGACATACACACACACGTACATACACACTAGTTTACTTACAGCAAGTCGTATGATGCACTATGAGTATGTGATAAAAGGCACTATCAATGTAGCCTCCTGGCTTTAGTCTAGAAAGGCTGTTTTGATGTTGTCACGATGCGTCGATAATGAAGGGGGGTGTGTTTTTACTGGTTGGTTTCTCCTCCGTGTCTTTCTCACTCAAACACCCACAGGCAAGGCCACACACAGCCTTCGAGCGCCGCCCCCTTCCATTACAACTGTTGGATTTTCAAGTCCAAACGAGAGGTCTCAACCCCCCCAGGAAAAAACGAACATTTGAGAGAACCAATCAATGAGTCCACAGAATTTCTGAGCGAATATTGCATTAACAAACGGCCTCCTGTCCAGACCAGTGAGTCACAGCTCTTCCTCGCTGTGTGGTCTCATGGGCCAGGCTGCTATCAATGCCCTGCACACAGGAGATTCACATAAAGTGCTAGCAAAAATATTGTGTTGGCATTATGACCAGTTAGGTCATGTGATTCTACACCCCCACTAAATTGTGCGACCATATTGGCTCATCAGGTGGTGCATCTGCTTTCTCCAAACTGTCATGACGACTTTACATAGGCATTACTACTGTAGTGACTATAGTTACCTCCACTTCTGCATTCCCACTAAATCCTGTGACCATCTATTCCCTCTTCAGGTGGTTAGTCTGCTGGATGAGGTGGAGGCCCAGAAGCTGGCGGCGGTGCGACGGGAGGAGGAGTTAACCTCTGCAGCTCAGAAGTCATGCCAGGACCAAGAGGCTCTGCGTGAGGCCAAGGGCCAGCTGGAAAGTCTGGGGGAGCAGGCACGGGAGGCCATGGAGCAGCTGAAGAGAGAGGTGCAGCAGGGGAAGTGGCTGAAGCAAGAGAAGGAGAGGCTCCAGGAGAGAGTGGTCCAGCTGGGAGAGACGAGAGAGGGGGAGAGGAGTAGGACGCAGCAGCAGTCTGATAACCAAAATGTGGGTCACATTTACAGTTGAAGTCGGAAGTTTACATACACTTAGGTTGGAGTCATTAAAACTTGTTTTTCAACCACTCCACAAATGTATTTCTAACAAACTATAGTTTTGGCAAGTCGGTTAGGACATCTACTTTGTGCATGACACAAGTAATATTTCCAACAGTTGTTTACAGACAGATTATTTCACTTATAATTTACTGTATCACAATTCCAGTGGGTCAGAAGTTTACATACACTAAGTTGACTGTGCCTTCAAACAGCTTGGAAAATTCCAGAAAGCTTTAGAAGCTTCTGACATCATTTGAGTCAATTGGAGGTGTACCTGTGGATGTATTTCAAGGCCTTCCTTCAAACTCAGTGCCTCTTTGCTTGACATCATGGGAAAATCTAAAGAAATCAGCCAAGACCTCAGAAAAAAAATGTGTAGACCTCCACAAGTCTGGTTCATCCTTGGGAGCAATTTCCAAATGCCTGAAGGTACCACGTTCATCTGTACAAACAATAGTACACAAGTATAAACACACATGGGATCACGCCGCCGTCATACCGCTCAGGAAGGAGACTCATTCGGTCTCCTAGAGATGAACGTACTTTGGTGCAAAAAGTGCAAATCAATCCCAGAACAACAGCAAAGGACCTTGTGAAGATGCTGGAGGAAACAAGTACAAAAGTATCTATATTCACAGTAAAACAAGTCCTGTATTGACATAACCTGAAAGGCCGCTCAGCAAGGAAGAAGCCACTGCTCCAAAACCACCATAAAAAAGCCAGACTACAGTTTGCAACTGCACATGGGGACAAAGATCTTACTTTTTTGAGAAATGTCCTCTGGTCTGATGAAACAAAAATAGAACTGTTTGGCCATAATGACCATCGTTATGTTTGGAGGAAAAAGGGGGACTTTGCAAGCCGAAGAACACCATCCCAACCGTGAAGAATGGGGGTGGCAGCATCATGCTGTGTGGGTACTTTGCTGCAGGAGGGACTGGTGCACTTCACAAAATAGATTGCATCATGAGGAAGGAAAATTATGTGGATATATTGAAGCAACATCTCATGACATCAGTCAGGAGGTTAAAGCTTGGTCGCAAATGGGTCTTCCAAATGGACAATGACCCTAAGCATACTTCCAAAGTTGTGGCAAAATGGCTTAAGGACAACAAAGTCAAGGTATTGGAGTGGCCATCACAAAGCCCTGACCTCAATCCTATTGAACATTTGTGGGCAGAACTGAAAAAGCGTGTGCGAGCAAGGAGGCCTACAAACCTGACTCAGTTACACCAGCTCTGTCAGGAGGAATGGGCCAAAATTCACCCAACTTATTGTGGGAAACTTGTGGAAGGTACCCAAAACATTTGACCCAAGTTGTTAAACAATTTAAAGGCAATGCTACCAAATACTAATTGAGTGTATGTAAACTTCTGACCCACTGGGAATGTGATGAAAGAAATAAAAGCTAAAATAAATAATTCTCTCCAATATTATTCTGACATTTCACATTCTTAAAATGAAGTGGTGATTCTAACTGACCAAAGACAGGGAGTTTTTACTAGGATTAAATGTCAGGAATTGTGAAACTGAGTTTAAATGTATTTGGCTAAGGTGTATGTAAACTTCCGACTTCAACTGTATATATCCTACATTCATAGACTTTGAACGAACCAAATACAGCGCTTTTGTATCAGATGATAGTACAATTGAATTAGGTTTTAGAGAAAATGTTTTAGCTATTGATACTATGATATTGTGTCTATTTGGCTGTCTTGTTGTTAGAACCCGGCTATGTATGATAAAATAATAAATAGTACATAGCCTTATTAACTCTGATGCGCTGTGTTGCTCTGGGCAACAGGCCCTGTATGATAATCCATTATAGATAATAATGTTAACATGGTGCTGTTTTACACTCAGCAACATAATAATAATGTAGGATAATCCACAATTTGGGCCAGTTGAGAGTCCGTTGGACATTTAGTTATTTAAACTCTGCTGTGCTATGTGTCTAGGGGCGGCAGGTAGCCTAGCGGTTAGAGCATTGGGCAAGTAACCAAAGGGTTGCTGGTTCGAATACCTGAGCCGTCAAGATTAAAACACTGTCGATGTGTCCCTATCCATGTATGTGACAATAAAACATACAGTGCATTCGGAAAGTATTCTGACCCCTTCCCCTTTTCCACATTTTGTTACGTTACAGCCTTATTCCAAAATGGATTAAATACATTTTTTCCTTCATCAATCTACACACAATACCCCATAATGGCAAAGCGAGAACAGGTTTTTAGAAATGTTTGCAAATGTATTAAAAATACAAATCAGAAATAACTTATTTACATAAGTATTCAGACCCTTTGCTATGAGACTCAAAATTGAGCTCAGGTGCATCCTGTGTTTCCATTGATAATCCTTGAGATGTTTCTACAACTTGATTGGAGTCCACCTGTGGTAAATTCAATTGATTGGACTTGATTTGGAACCTGTCTATATAAGGTCCCACAGTTGACAGTGCATGTCAGAGCAAAAACCAAGCCATGCAGGAATTGTCCGTAGAGCCCCGAGACAGGATTGTGTCGAGGCACAGATCTGGGGAAGGGTACCAAAAAATGTCTGCAGCGTTGAAGTTCCCCAAGAACACAGTGGCCTCCATCATTCTTAAATGGAAGAAGTTTTGAACCACCAAGACTCTTCTTAGAGCTGGCCGCCCGGCCAAACTGAGCAATCGGGGGAGAAGGGCGTTGGTCAGGGAGGTGACCCGAGAACCTGATGATCACTCTGACAGAGCTCCAGAGTTCCTGTGTGGAGATGGGAGAACCTTCCAGAAGGACAACCATCTCTGCAGCACTCCACCAATCAGGCCTTTATGGTAGATTGGCCAGACGGAAGCCACTCCTCAGTAAAAGGCACATGACAGCCTGCTTGGAGTTTGCCAAAAGGCACCTAAAGGACTCTCAGACCATGAGAAACAAGATTCTCTGGTCTGGTGAAACCAAGATTGAACTCTTTGGGCTGAATGCCAAGCGCCACGTCTAGAGGAAACCTGGCACCATCCCTACGGTGAAGCATGGTGGTGGCAGCATCATGCTGTGGGGATGTTTTTCAGCAACAGGGACTGGGAGACTAGTCAGGATCGAGGGAAAGATGAACGGAGCAAAGTACAGAGAGATCCTTGATGAAAACCTGCTCCAGAGCGCTCAGGACCTCAGACTGGGGCGGAGGTTCACCTTCCAACAGGACGACCCTAAGCACACAGCCAAGACAACGCAGGAGTGGCTTTGGGACAAGTCTCTGAATGTCCTTGAGCCAGAGCCCGGACTTGAACCTGATCGAACATCTCTGGAGAGACCTGAAAATAGGTGTGCAGCGACGCTCCCCATCCAACCTGACAGAGCTTGAGAGGATCTGCAGAGAAGAATGGGAGGAACTACAGGTGTGCAAAGCTTGTAGCATCATACCCTAGAAGACTCGAGGCTGTAATTACTGCCAAAGGTGCTTCGACAAAGTACTGAGTAAAGGGTCTGAATACTTATGTAAATGTGATATTTCAGTTTTTTATTTTTAATACATTTGCAAACATTTCTGAAGCTGTTTTTGCTTTGTCATTATGGGGTATTGTGTGTAGATGTAATCAATTTTAGAATAAAGCTGTAACGTAACAAAATGTGGAAAAGGTCAAGGGGTCTGAATACTTTCGAATGCACTGTATATTTTTTTTAGAACATGCAGGCTCTGAATGGGAAGTGATCATCATGGTAATCATCATAATGATATTTCTGTACTGTGTCTGTAGCAGGCCGTGTGGCGAGGCGAGCCCACAGACCGGACCAGAGACTGGGTGTTCCAGCAGAAGTCTGGCGACACGCTCACTGTCAACCCCAGCACACCTTCCCTCCTCAAAGTCACTGGGACAGGGGGCAACCTCGCCCCCCACCATGACCCCAAACACTCAGACAAGGTCTTGGGCAAACTGCAGCTCATCGCAGCCAAGATCCGAACCATGGTCAGCAAGGGCTCTGGCAGGTATGTCACAATTTTTTAACAACTTTGTCTCAAAACATTTGTATGTTATGTTCATGATGTACAGGTGTAGATTTATGTTTTCTGTGTGGATTGATCTGTGTGTGTGCAGGCTGACTACGGAGGTGGACAGTGAAGGGCTGTCGTGGCTGCAGACCAACATTGATGAGGTCATCACTATGCTGCAGCAGTCCCCAGCGCTCCCCTCGGTCCCTGAGGTGAATTGACACTTCTCATTTCAGACTACTCAGATTAGATTGATGTTTATTGTGCTACAAAAATATATTTCCACAGCTCACACATTATATACATAAACCACACAACAGGAAACAGACTACAGTCTTAGTCAAACTTAAATAGTAACCCCCTGCCCATCACCTGCACATGTAGGGAGGAAGCTACTCTACTTGATGTATAGAGTATTTGTATGACTTCAGTGGCTACTGAGCACTGACATTTATTCTCTGCTGTGTCTACAGAGCGCCGCCCTGCTGGCGGGAGGCCAGTCCAGCTCCCTGACAGAGCGGCTGCTGAGGCAGAATGCTGAGCTCACAGGCTTCGTTAGCCGTCTGACAGAGGAGAAGAACGATCTGCGCAACCAAACCCTCTGCCTGGAGGATGAGCTTCGACGCTACCGCCAGGCTGGTCTGGGATCAGGGGACAGCGTGAGTTCCAATACTAGATGGGATGTCGCTCAGTTGGTAGAGCATGGCGTTTGCAACGCCAGGGTTGTGGGTTCGATTCCCATGGGGGCCAGTAGAAAAAAAAAAATTTATGCACTCACTATCTGTAAGTCGCTCTGGATAAGAGCGTCTGCTAAATGACTTAAATGTAAATGTAGATCTAATGCAATTAAGGGCTAGTGACAGGTCTGGGATCAGTACAATACTAGTCCAATACTATACAGGGCCAGTGGCAGGTCGGGAATCTAGGGACAGGGGACAGAGTACAATACTCTAATGGTCCACTAGCCGGTGCCCCCGCACATTGACTCTGCACCGGTACCCCCCTGTATATAGCCTCCCTACTGTTATTTTATTTTACTGCTGCTCTTTAGTTATTTGCTTAAATTTTTTTTTAACTTAACACTAAAAAATAAAATAAGAAATGCATTGTTGGTTAAGTAAGCATTTCACTGTAATGTCTACACCTGTTGTATTCGGCGCATGTGGCAAAGAAGATTTGATTTGATTGCAGAGGCACCTAGAAATGGCGGAGAAGTAGCTTGTGGAGACATTGCTTTAATTTGCACCAACCTAACACGACCCCTCTCTACCTCCTATCCCTCCCTCCAGTCCAGGAGGAGAGGTGGCGTGGACAAGCAGCAGGAGGCGGCCAGCGTTCTGTTCTCGTCAGAGCGTGAAGCCTGGACCAGGGAGAGGAGCCGGCTGGAGAAGGGCCTGCGTCTAGCCCAGGCAGAGGTGACCCAACTCAAGGGAGAGATCCGGACAGAGTCCCTCAGAGACATGACCGGACCGGAGGCAGACAACACCACACTGAAGGTGAGCTCAAAGCTGCCCTGCTTCTCTCCATGACACTCACCTCTTTCAAATCTACCACTTTTCCACTCTTTGTCAGAGTTGAATAGTAAATACATTGTTGCACATCTATAAAACCCACTTAACTATCTCACACACTTTTTCAACCCTCCTTTCTCTCTCCTATTCCCCTTCTCCAGAATATGTATGGCAAGTACTTACGCGCCGAGAGTTTCCGCAAGTCCCTCATCTACCAGAAGAAGTACCTGCTGCTGCTGCTCGGCGGCTTCCAGGAGTGCGAGGAAGCCACGCTGTCGATCATCGCCCGCATGGGCAGCCGGCCCTCCCAATGCAGCCTGGAGTCCCTGACGCAGAGCCGCCGGGGGCTGACGCGCTTCCGCTCGGCCGTCCGTGTCTCCATCGCCCTCTCCAGGTAAACAATGGGAACTGGAGTGGTAGGATGGTGTTGCACCTGTTAGTATAGCTGATTGCTTATGATCATGCAAACATACTCCACAGTTTAAGGGTTTTATTATTAGCATATCGCCCTCTCCGGATAAACAGAGCAGCGTAGACTGTTGTTGTTGTGAGGCTATAGCTGCTAAATTATAATGCTCTGCAGTTTAAAGGCATTTATGATGAGCTTATAGCAAAATTATACTTATTAAAAGCCTTAATCAAGCTTATACAGTAAAGGAAAAAAGTATTTGATCCCCTGCTGATTTTCTACGTTTGCCCACTGACAGACATGATCAGTCTATAATTTTAATGGTAGGTTTATTTGAACAGTGAGAGACAGAATAACAACAAAGAAATCCAGAAAAACGCATGTCAAAAATGTTATAAATTGATTTGCATTTTAATGAGGGAAATAAGTATTTGACCCCTCTGCAAAACATGACTTAGTACTTGGTGGCAAAACCCTTGTTATCAATCACAGAGGTCAGATGTTTCTTGTAGTTGGCCACCAGGTTTGCACACATCTCAGGAGGGATTTTGTCCCACTCCTCTTTGCAGATCTTCTCCAAGTCATTAAGGTTTCGAGCTTCACGTTTGGCAACTCGAACCTTCAGCTCCCTCCACAGATTTTCTATGGGATTAAGGTCTGGAGACTGGCTAGGCCACTCCACGACCTTAATGTGCTTCTTCTTGAGCCACTCCTTTGTTGCCTTGGCCGTGTGTTTTGGGTCATTGTCATGCTGGAATAACCATCCACGACCCATTTTCAATGCCCTGGCTGAGGGAAGGAGGTTTCTCACCCAAGATTTGAGGGTACATGGCCCCGTACATCGTCCCGTTGATGCAGTGAAATTGTCCTGTCCCCTTAGCAGAAAAACACCCCCAAAGCATAATGTTTCCACCTCCATTTTTGATGGTGGGGATGGTGTTCTTGGGGTCATGGGCAGCATTCCTCCTCCTCCAAACACGGCGAGTTGAGTTGATGCCAAAGAGCTCGATTTTGGTCTCATCTGACCACAACACTTTCACCCAGTTCTCCTCTGAATCATTCAGATGTTCATTGGCAAACTTCAGACGGGCCTGTATATGTGCTTTCTTGAGCAGGGGGACCTTGCGGGCGCTGCAGGATTTCAGTCCTTCACGGCGTAGTGTGTTACCAATTGTTTTCTTGGTGACTATGGTCCCAGCTGCCTTGAGATCATTGACAAGATCCTCCCGTGTAGTTCTGGGCTGATTCCTCACCGTTCTCATGATCATTACAACTCCACGAGGTGAGATCTTGCATGGAGCCCCAGGCCGAGGGAGATTGACAGTTATTTTGTGTTTCTTCCATTTGCGAATAATCGCACCAACTGTTGTCACCTTCTCACCAAGCTGCTTGGCGATGGTCTGGTAGCCCATTCCAGCCTTGTGTAGGTCTACAATCTTGTCCCTGACATCCTTGGAGAGCTCTTTGGTCTTGGCCATGGTGGAGAGTTTGGAATCTGATTGATTGATTGCTTCTGTGGACAGGTGTCTTTTTATACAGGTAACAAACTGAGATTAGGAGCACTCCCTTTAAGAGTGTGCTCCTAATCTCAGCTCGTTACCTGTATAAAAGACACCTGGGAGCCAGAAATCTTTCTGATTGAGAGGGGGTCAAATACTTATTTCCCTCATTAAAATGCAAATCAATTTATAACATTTTTGACATGCGTTTTTCTGGATTATTTTGTTGTTATTCTGTCTCTTACTGTTCAAATAAACCTACCATTAAAAGTATAGACTGATCATTTCTTTGTCAGTGGGCAAACGTACAAAATCAGCAGGGGATCAAATACTTTTTTCCCTCACTGTAGCTGATTAGTTATTATTTCAAAAACAGGTGCTGGATTGTGAACGACTGTTATTATGAGTTCATACAATATCAGTAGTTATTTTGATAAACACGGATGGATTGTTCTGGTAGATAGTACTGTAGGCTAATGGTCCTCTGTACTCTAATGGTCCTCTAGCCTAGGGGTGTCAAACTCATTCCTTGGAGGGCCTAGTGTCTTCCTTTCAATTTAGACCTAGACAATCAGGGACGGGAGTTTCTTACTAATCAGTGACCTTAGTTAATCAATCAAGGGAGGAGCGAAAACCTGCACACTCAGCCTTCCGTGGAACAAGTTTGGCATGTGCTCTAGCACATCTTTTTGAATCAGCCTGTTCTGTTCTTCCAGAATGCGTTTCCTGGTCAAGCGATGGCATAAAGCTACGGGGATGAGCTCCATAACATCTGTCAACGTGAACAGAAACGGCCTGGGACTGTCACCAGGTATGAAAATCACATTCCCTCACACAATACCAACACAAGGAAAATGTACTGGGAAAATCACATGGAATGAATGAACTGATTATTTAGTTAAATGGTAAAGAACCAAGCTAGGCTAACCTAGGCTTACACACTTGTAGTCAATGAAGTGCTGATTGATCAGGTGGTCCACAATGCTAGCTAACCTAAATAAATAACCTGAATATTCTAAAATGCCAGGTTCAATACAAACCAGAAAATTAATAATGACCTTTTCATTGGCTGACTCATTGATCCTGTTTTGTGAGAGAAAACCCCCACAGAGTACTGACAACGGTTTCTCTTCCTCTTCAGGTAATGAGGTGAGGACAGACTCACCCTACCTGCAACCGGGGAGTGTGGAGGTGTACGGGGAGAGGAGAGGTGCCATCAGGGGACGAACTGGACGAGACTCCCCCAGGTCCGCCCTCTCCTCTGCACAACACAGGTTCCACATGGCTGGGGACCCTGGCACTCTGACCTGCTCCCACCTCCAGAACTACGACCCTGACCGAGCGCTCACCGACTACATCTCCAGACTGGAGGCCCTGCAGAGGAGACTGGGGAGCGTGCAGTCAGGTAAGACACACACACACACACACACACTTCCAACCATACTACCTCACACAATCTAGAGTTAAATACTGTAATGCCATAAGCAGAAATTGCCCTCTCATTCAATCACTAAACAAAATATGTGCAGATGATGCTTGCAATGTTCTTGTCAAGAGTTCAGTCTTGGGATCTAAACCACTTCATTTTGCCCTTCCTAGGTTCTTCTTCATATGCTCAATTAAACTTTGGAATAAAAAGATAAGTCTATAATTTACATTGGAACTGGCTTGAAGAAACTCAGTTGCCTTTTCTTGTGCTGAGCTTCGGTATTTTGTATCATTCTGCTGTGTACAGTATATTACGTGGGGACCAACAAACGTTTTTTGTGTGTAGACATCTTATAATCGGGCTTTTTGTCGCCAGCACTTGAAACAGCTTCTATGTTTGTAAACTTTGGTCTGCCTCTTTGTTGTGGATGAACACAATCATGTTAAATGTATATTTGTGGAATGCTAATTTAAAAGAAAAACCTGGAATAATTTAATTTATACTGTGTATGTTACTTTGTGTGGGTGGAAGAATACGTAGAGCAGGCTTCTCCGGAGAACTCCAGTCCTGGATAGGAACCGGGTGGGCGTGCAGGTCTATGCTCCAGCCCAGCACTAACACGCCTGATTTAAAGTAACCGTGGTTTCTTAAACGGAAGACCATGATTGGTTGATTATTGGAAATTGTTGTTAGTGCTGGGCTGGAACAAAAGCCTACACACCCAGTAGCTCTCCAGGATGGGAGTTGGGAGAACTCTGCCATGGAGAATGTTTGACTTTACTGTTGAAGAGGCTGCTACAGGATCTATATACACCACACTGTGTTTTATTAGAATGATATCTTGGACAGACTACAGAGGACAATTTGTAGAAGACATATTTTTGTAAAGGTAGGAGGTTTGAATTTTCTGGGTATTTTGTCAAAAACTGAAATAAATATGAATTTTAACACTTGGAAGATGTGGTCGCAACGTTTTTTTTAATTCAGCTTCATGACACAACAATTTGATTTTACAGGTACACATTTAATTCGTTCTAACAGTTGTATAACAAAATAAAACATTAACTAAAATGTGAATCTGTTATGGGGTAAATGTACAGTCAATGCAATTATGGTGTAAAGACAAATTGGACATGAGATTTTGCCTCCTGGAATTCACATGGGATCATCTCTGACATTATTTTTTATATATAAAGGGCCAATGTTCACAAAACTAGGCTTCAAATAGTCAAATCAATCAAAACAAAATTGACTAATAATTTTCCATTGTCACGGCACTACATTGGTCATACTGACCCATATTACCCTGACCTTCTAACATTCCCACTCAATACACTTAGTCGTGTTTATTAGGGCACACAGCAGAAAACAGAAATGTGTCTTGTTGAGCAAGTGCAGGTTGTCCCTCCCTGTTTCAAGTCCCTTTTCTTTGTTTGACCCAGCTCAGGTCCTCTTATCTTTGTACAATTATATGAATGGGCAGTAGTACATACAGTCAGTGCTCGTCAGTTTGATCACTGATCTCTTTGAAGGATCAGTGGTTTTACTATTTCTCACTGCTCTGTAAAAGGCAGTGCTTTTTACTCCAGTAATATCCATCCTTACTGTAATAGTGTCACTCATACACACAGAAGACTATCACATTTCAGACAGTGGAAGCTTGAAAGCCTACACTGAGCACCAAAAGTATTGGGACAGTGACACATTTGTTGTTGTTTTGGCTCTGTACTTTTGGCTCTGTACTTTGAAATGATACAATGACTGATATTTATGCCTCTAACTTTCTCACTCATTATTCATGATTCATTCAGGATCATCTGTAATCATGGTAGCATCCACATTAATGTAGAAGTGTTTAGAAACATTATATTCTTATTTACAATAAAAGTGACTCCAAAATGACACAATACATTATTTACCATGCATTTCTATTGGGCACAAAATAATCTGAAATACAACCAAAACAATTAGCAAATGCATTCAACAAGTTTGTAGTCACAAGCATGATGTAATCTTTGCGTGCTAGAAATATGGGACCAAATACTACAATTCTGACTACTTTAAAACACATAAGTGAATTTGTACCAATATTTTTGGTCCCCTAAAATTGGGGGACTATGTACAAAAAGTGCTGTAATTTCTAAACGGTTCACCCGATATGGATGAAAATACCCTCAAATTAGAGCTGACAGTCTGCACTTTAACCTCAAAGTCACAGAGGCATAAATATCATAGTCATTGTATCATTTCAAATCCAAAGTGCTGGAGTACAGATCCAAAACAACAAGAAATTTGTCACTGTCCCAATACTTTTGGAGCTCACTGTATATGTATTACCATGACAGTTGAAATAGAATGGCCAAAAGATTAAGCCTGGTCCCAGATCTGTTTGTGCTGTATACTGTAGCCAAATCCTATGGTCATTGGCATAACTGCACAAACAGATCTAATCTGGGATTAGACTACAAAAGAGAAGCCGTTAGTGAAGAAACAAACTGATTCAGTGTACATTCTAACAACTCGTAAACATAAGGTGAGGGCAACACAAAGTAAAGTTGTTTGATTTCCACCAAGTACAACAATTTTCTCTAAATCAAACCATTTAAGGTAAGTAAGGTTGTTTGTTGAGGGAACTCTGAAATGGCTCCCTATTTCCTATATAGTGCACTACTTTTGGCCGCAGCCCTATGACGCTCTGGACAAAATTAGTACACTATAGAATAGGAAGCCATTTTGGACAAAGCCTTGCTCTTCTCCTGGGTGTAACCTCTTCTCTGCTGTGTTTTGCTCTGTGTCTTTTAGTGTTGCCTCCTCTTGTATCTGATGACTGGGTTGTGTGGGGTGTGGATCATGGTTGTGTAGTTGATTGTGGGGAAGTAGCCATCGACCAGGTCAAATTCGTAAAGGCGCAGCATGGTAGACCAGATGGTCTTGATCTGAACATAGGCAAAGTTCTCCCCAATGCAGCGGTGTCGACCTAGAAGACAGAGAACATCAGTGTTTTGTAATGAGGGTAAAATCAGGTGAAACTTTGTGGCGTGAGACAGCTTGGTATGGTAGTAAAGTTCATATTTTCATATATTGAGCAAGAGCCCTACCTACTGACAAAATACTTATTTACATATGAGAACACACTGTATTACAGATGTTTCCCCTACCATTGTGTATATGCTTTGACACTCATGTTTTCTCTTAAAGATGGCAGATCACCTAACTTATAACATGCTGTTAATAGGGATGAAATAACAACAAAATATTCTTACCGGCTCCAAAGGGCACATAAGCAAATTTCTCAACTGCGGCAGGGTTATCATTGAGGAAGCGGTCAGGCCTAAACTCCATCCTCTCTGTCCAGGTGTCCTGCAGACGGTGGTTGACCGTCGGGGACACACACACCTGGTGGCCGGCTGGGATGGTGTAGCCTGCTGCAGTCTGGGGGTGGATGGAAGCAAAGGGTCAGGGTTGTTCAATGGTCACTCACCTATTATACACATGCATTTAGCTGGGTTGGGGCTCCATTCCATTTCAATGTAAAAAAAAAAAAAAAAAACTTTTATATGGACAATTTAAATTATGGCCATTTCTCTCTCAAATTCAGTGTCCCCAAAAACAATTGACACTTTTTTTTTACTGATATTCTAATGGAATTGTAAAATCTCTATGAAGGTAGTAGGAATAACTTCATGGGCATTCGTAACTGCCCAACAAATAATGACATTGATCATACCTGAGGAGAGCGTGCCATTCTCATCATGGTCATGATGGGTGGACGGAGTCGGAGGGTCTCTTTCAAACAGCGGTCCAACAAAGTCAGGTCCTTCAGCTGATGAATGAACAAGAGAACAGGACTAGGTAAGTAAAGACCATGTCAAATATTTAAATGATCAAAACTGTCGAAATGAATAGCTGAACTTATGGTTTAGCAGTCTAGAAAAACGGTTCTAAGCTGAAGTTGCTTACATACAATATCCAACTACCCAGTTTAAATGGAATATGGTCAAAAAATAAACTGATCTAAATAAGTTTCAACAAAATAATTCATACAAATGAATGTACCAATTATGTAATATAATTATGTGAATATAGTCTTAACACATTTGTAAGCCAGTATAAAAACATAATTCATATTTTCAACAACAAAGTTCTAGTGTAGTCTATGGCCATTTATGTGCAGTTGGCAATATGCCAGTTATGGATTATAACCTGGTCAAAGTTGAGTGGGGGCAGGTCTTCACCACATGCAGTTTTCTGTTCAGCGTAGCAGCGGTTCTGTAGGGCCTTATCTTTGCCCAGGAAGAAGCCCAACCAGGAACTAGTGGTGGAGGATGTGTGCTGTCCAGCCAGGAGTAGACCAATCAGCATGCCCGCTATCTCATCATCATTCAGGGGCCGCCCATCCCTTAAAAAGGGCAGAAATAGTTACGACTAAAATGGGGAATCAGTCTAAAATGGTTAAACAGTTGTAGAACACCTTTAAACCAAACACCCATTCACTTCAGTTCTGTGGGGAGGTATAGATACTTATCCCATACAGTGAGGGAAAAAAGTATTTGATCCCCTCCTGATTTTGTACATTTGCCCACTGACAAAGAAATGATCCGTCTATAATTTTAATGGTAGGTTTATTTGAATAGTGAGAGTCAGAATAACAACAACAAAAATTATAAATTGATTTGCATTTTAATGAGGGAAATAAGTATTTGACCCCCTCTCAATCAGAAAGATTTCTGGCTCCCAGGTGTCCTTTTATACAGGTAACAAACTGAGATTAGGAGCACACTGTTAAAGGGAGTGCTCCTAATCTCAGTTTGTTACCTGTATAAAAAACACCTGTCCACAGAAGCAATCAATCAATCAGATTCCAAACTCTCCACCATGGCCAAGACCAAAGAGCTATCCAAGGATGTCAGGAACAAGATAGTAGACCTACACAAGGCTGGAATGGACTACAAGACCATCTCTAAGCAGCTTGGTGAGAAGGTGACAACAGTTGGTGCGATTATTCGCAAATAGAAGAAACACAAAAGAACTGTCAATCTCCCTCGGCCTGGGGCTCCATGCAAGATTTCACCTCGTGGAGTTGCAATTATCATGAGAACGGTGAGGAATCAGCCCAGAACTACACGGGAGGATCTTGTCAATGATCTCAAGGCAGCTGGGACCATAGTCACCAAGAAAACAATTGGTAACACACTACACCGTGAAGGACTGAAATCCTGCAGCGCCCGCAAGGTCCCCCTGCTCAAGAAAGCACATATACAGGCCCGTCTGAAGTTTGCCAATGAACATCTGAATGATTCAGAGCAGAACTGTGAAAGTGTTGTGGTCAGATGAGACCAAAATCGAGATCTTTGGCATCAACTCAACTCGCCGTGTTTGGAGGAGGAGGAATGCTGCCTATGACCCCAAGAACACCATCCCCACCGTCAAACATGGAGGTGGAAACATTATGCTTTGGTGGTGTTTTTCTGCTAAGGGGACAGGACAACTTCACCGCATCAAAGGGACGATGCACGGGGCCATGTACCGTCAAATCTTGGGTGAGAACCTCCTTCCCTCAGCTAGGGCATTGAAAATGGGTCGTGGATGGGTATTCCAGCATGACAATGACCCAAAACACACGGCCAAGGCAACAAAGGAGTGGCTCAAGAATAAGCACATTAAGGTTCTGGAGTGGCCTAGCCAGTCTCTAGACCTTAATCCCATAGAAAATCTGTGGAGGGAGCTGAAGGTTCGAGTTGCCAAACGTCAGCCTCGAAACCTTAATGACTTGGAGAAGATCTGCAAAGAGGAGTGGGACAAAATCCCTCCTCAGATGTGTGCAAACCTAGTGGCCAACTACAAGAAACGTCTGACCTCTGTGACCTTGGTGGTTTTGCCACCAAGTACTAAGTCATGTTTTGCAGAGGGGTCAAATACTTATTTCCCTCTTTGAAATGCAAATCAATTTATAACATTTTTGACATGCATTTTTCTGGATTTTTTGTTGTTGTTATTCTGTCTCTCACTGTTCAAATAAACCTACCATTAAAATGATAGACTGATCATGTCTTTGTCAGTGGGCAAACGTACAAAATCAGCAGGGGATCAAATACTTTTTTTCCTCACTGTATGTATTAATACTGGCATCTGTCCCACTTATATCTTACTTGTAGGTGGCATCTATGAGGGTCTGCAGCATGTCGTCCACTTTCTCTCCAGAGCTTCTGCGTTTCTGGGTGACCTTGTAGAAGATGTTCTTGATCTCCCTGTGTGCTCTGTCCCTTCGTCTGTACAAAAATTACAAAACCTGTGTTTTTTCCTGCCTTATCGAAGTAAGACATTCTCATATTGCTATTACAGAATGAATACAGTAGAATTAAGTCCAACTCAGTCTATCACCCAGAACCCTAACTTGAGGATAGAACAATGAGACAGTATGAATGAAGTTTCATGAATAATCATTTCCAGAAACCGTTCTGGTAACTCAGTCTAATTTGGTCTTTCACACAAAAAACCTAACCTGAAGGTGGAACAGTTTGAATTGACCCTTGGTTGAGGACAGAAAAGTATGAATGAAGTCTTTCTCTTACCTGAAACTGGGCAGCGGCAGCCAGCCAGGCAGCAGCCAGGCAGCATGGCTGAAGCCCCCGTCCAGGTCTGCGTAGAGCTGGGCCACCTTCTCGTCCAACATGCTGCGGATCTCCTTCCCATGGAGACAGGCACTGGCCGTCAGGATGATAAGCTCCGACAGGGCCTCAAACAGGTCTGAGAGAGGGAGAAGTAGCGAGATGGGGAGAGAGGAAGGAGTGCGAGAGAGGTGGAGATAGAGATGGAAAGAGTGAATGAGTGAGAGAAAGAGAACAGAGGTCAGAATTGCTGACTGGATACAGTGACTTGTTGAATTGCTATTGTGTTGCCTTACAACCTGGAATTAAAATTATGGTGGAAAATAAGTATTTGGTCACCTACAAACAAGCAAGATTTCTGGCTCTCACAGACCTGTAACTTCTTCTTTAAGAGGCTCCTCTGTCCTCCACTCGTTACCTGTATTAATGGCACCTGTTTGAACTTGTTATCAGTATAAAAGACACCTGTCCACAACCTCAAACAGTCACTCCAAACTCCACTATGGCCAAGACCAAAGAGCTGTCAAAGGACACCAGAAACAAAATTGTAGACCTGCACCAGGCTGGGAAGACTGAATCTGCAATACGTAAGCAGCTTGGTTTGAAGAAATCAACTGTGGGAGCAATTATTAGGAAATGGAAGACATACAAGACCACTGATAATCTCCCTTGATCTGGGGCTCCACGCAAGAGCTCACCCCGTGGGGTCAAAATGATCACAAGAACGGTGAGCAAAAATCCCAGAACCACACGGGGGGACCTAGTGAATGACCTGCAGAGAGCTGGGACCAAAGTAACAAAGCCTACCATCAGTAACACACTACGCCGCCAGGGACTCAAATCCTGCAGTGCCAGACGTGTCCCCCTGCTTAAGCCAGTACATGTCCAGGCCCGTCTGAAGTTTGCTAGAGTGCATTCGGATGATCCAGAAGAGGATTGGGAGAATGTCATATGGTCAGATGAAACCAAAATATAACCTTTTGGTAAAAACTCAACTCGTCGTGTTTGGAGGACAAAGAATGCTGAGTTGCATCCAAAGAACACCATACCTACTGTGAAGCATGGGGGTGGAAACATCATGCTTTGGGGCTGTTTTTCTGCAATGGGACCAGGACGACTGATCCGTGTAAAGGAAAGAATGAATGGGGCCATGTATCGTGAGATTTTGAGTGAAAACCTCCTTCCATCAGCAAGGGCATTGAAGATGAAACGTGGCTGGGTCTTTCAGCATGACAATGATCCCAAACACACCGCCCGGGCAACGAAGGAGTGGCTTCGTAAGAAGCATTTCAAGGTCCTGGAGTGGCCTAGCCAGTCTCCAGATCTCAACCCCATAGAAAATCTTTGGAGGGAGTTGAAAGTCTGTGTTGCCCAGCGACAGCCCCAAAACATCACTGCTCTAGAGGAGATCTGCATGGAGGAATGGGCCAAAATACCAGCAACAGTGTGTGAAAACCTTGTGAAGACTTACAGAAAACGTTTGACCTGTGTCATTGCCAACAAAGGGTATATAACAAAGTATTGAGAAACTTTTGTTATTGACCAAATACTTATTTTCCACCATAATTTGCAAATAAATTCATTAAAAATCCTACAATGTGATTTTCTGTTTTTTTTTTCTCATTTTGTCTGTCATAGTTGACGTGTACCTATGATGAAAATTACAGGCCTCTCTCATCTTTTAAAGTGGGAGAACTTGCACAATTGGTGGCTGACTAAATACTTTTTTCCCCCACTGTATATACTGAGATCATGTGACAGATCATGTGACACTTAGATTGCACACAGGTGGACTTTATTTAACTAATTATGTGACTTTTGATGGTAATTGGTTGCACCAGATCTTATTTAGGAGCTTCATAGCAAAGGGGGTGAATACATATGCACGCACCACTTTTCCGTTATTTATTTTGTATAATTTTTTTGAAACAAGTAATTTTTTTCATTTCACTTCACCAATTTGTGTATGTCCATTACATGAAATCCAAATAAAAATCCATTTAAATTACAGTTTGTATTGCAACAAAATAGGAAAATCGCCAAGGGGGATGAATACTTTTGCAAGGCACTGTAACTTTGACTGTGCGCTACGGCTCAAATGTTATGACGTGTAACAAGTGATATGTGTTCATAAACAGCAACGACTCGCAAACAGATTCTATCAAGAGTGTGAAGCAAAAGGCTGCAGTCATTAGCAATCCATTAAGCATCTGCATGTGCATGGGAGATCACTGCACTCTTGAGCAACGTAATGCTACAGTACGTGACAACACATTTTGACTAGATTAGCCTCTTGCTTCTTACTCTCCTTGTTCATGTCAGAAGTCGCTCTGTTAAAACACTACTTTTGGTAATGTCATATCGCTACCCTACCTTTACAGAAAAAAATTAACTATATCTTAAAATGGATGGCAAGGTTCAAACTGTATTACAGTAGTTTACAACACATTGATTACGTGTGTATTGTTTTGTTTTGCTAGGTATTACTACACTGCATTTCGCTGCACCTGCGATAACATCTGCAAGTCTGGGTTTGCGACCAATAAACTTTGATTTGATTTAGTTATGAGGTATTACTAGAGAACTTGTTGATGGGAAATTGTGCTAAATGGGTCATTTTCTGAACAGTTGACACTGTACTTCACCAAGTCCCTACCTCATGAGCTCTTATAGGTCTGAAAGGATTGAATAAGTATACTGTATTCATAATTCAACTTTGCAATCTGATAGGCCAAGTGGAAAATGTGTAATTCTGCTTACGTCTTTTCAATCCTTTTAGGTCTACATTAAGTGGCTAAAGTAGGGACTAGGGGTAGATTTGGAACTGGGCATTTGGATTTATTTCCACATGGAATACTGTAGAAACTATCAGACCGGTTGTAATGGCTCTGTCATCTTACTTTCTTCCCCACTGTCTCCCCATCGTGAAAAGTACTCCTTAGTTTCCTCCTCGATGATTTCAACGTGCTGTTTGAAATGCGTGATGTTCAGTCCTGTCTTAAACATCTTCTTCTGTTCCAGGAAAATCTACAAAAGAAAATGAGTGGCAAAATTAGACTTAATTAGCTAAGTCAATACTTAGTTTATGATAGGTTTATGTGATGAAACAATGGACAAACAAACTTCTGGCAAGACTTCTTTATGTGTGGGGACATTCTCTCTACATTTGTGAGTGTGAATGGGAGTATCTGAGTAAGTATTTATTAGCTTACATGGTTAGGTACATCGTAGGCAACCCCTTTGCCAAAAACTGGCGTGGTCAATCGAGAATAGACATCCTCTGCATTGAGATCTTCGTTCTTGCTGTTGAACATCAGTGTGGCTGCCTCACTACCCAGGAGGTAGGTAAAGGTTTTTCCCACCATGGTAAAGCTGACAACAGGCCCATACTGTGAATATAAATAAAATAAACCTTATTTTAGCACCTACTATAACTGGCACTTTCAAATGGCACTATACACCAGTAAGGTTCAAAAGCTGTATGATATGAAATAAGTTATTGTAACATTTTGTAAACAAAAATAAGTAGCACTTTGAGCACTAAAATATATGAAGTATACTTTGCAGCAGTACTGTATTCTTACCTTCTCATATGCATTCTCCAGAAATTCAATGGGACTTTTCCCAAATGCTATGGCATGACCCAGAAATGGAATGCTAGAAGGTATGTATGGTGGGTATTTCTGAGAAAATAAAAACATTAATTTAGTTTCAGGAATACAATACACAAGTCAATTGATGTTGCACAATATGCAATAGACTATGATGAGGCGTGAATATATATATATATATATATATCTCAACTGATTTATTTTTCATGTACATACCTTGTCTTCGTCTGAAGAAGATTGTGACTGTTTGAGCACCAGTTTAGAAATATATCCCAAAGTTAGGGTGATCACAGACACTGCAAGGACCACCGATGTCACGTTGTCACTCATTTTCCCGACTGTATTTTCTAGTAGCATACTACTAACTTTATATAAATGCATAGCCATTGTCACGTCTTCTGTTGTTTCTTTCAATTCCATGTAAAATATTGTAAACCACAGCGTCAGACCGTAATCCGGTTGTGATGTCACTTCTACACCATCTAATTCGGTTTTCCAGAAGGCTCGAGGCTATTTGTATAAATGTGTAATGCACAGTCAAATCCCTCTTTATTCCAATAGCATAGTTTATTCCCTTATAACGCTAAATGATAAGAAGTGACAGCTAGTACTGTTTCACAGCATCTCCACCTGTCGATATGAAGCTAGTCCTGCCCCCGCCTGACAAATAAAGGCATTTCATTGGCTATTCGCTGTGTGTCCATCAGCTCCGCGGCTGCCTTCCTGCACTCTGGTTGGCTGTCACTACCTGGACTGATGTCTGGCTATATGATGTCATGCCCGAGTACAAACCAATCGACACATCTTAACTCCTCCACATTTACTGGATTGGTTGAATGGTGCAGAAGACACCCTCCCCCGACATCTTTTTATTTACTTCTCAAGACAGTTGCGGTGATCGAGAGCATCAAAACGACTGCAGGCGATTGCTGACTGACTGATCTACAAATCAGCTTGCGTCCAGTAGCGATCACTATCTGATTTATGGTATAACCTCATTTTGATTAGTTCAGAGGCAATGAATTACATATTTAAATTGTTTAGTGAAGTCTGTTTAAAGTGATTGAGCAATGTTGCCTGTCTGCCTTCCCAAAGACATCGGTCTTCAAACCAGTGGAGGGGTGCTTACTCTGGTGAGATACGTTTAGCCTCTTGTGAATTGAAGGAAAAGTATGAATGCACGCCACTGCTTGCATCATAAATAACTACTCATTATTGTTTGCAGATCAGTCAGTCACAATTTACACATGATACATCACGGTTTTGATGCTCTCGAACACGGCCAATATGTAGGGGATCTAGTTCTATATCGTGGAGCTCCGCCCCATAGGGGAGCTCTGCTCCTATTGGTTTACCCACTGCCCTAAGGCAGCATCAGCCTGAGACAAAATTATGCACACACCTGCAGCCAATAGGAGTACAGGTGTCCCTATAAGAGGGGATGCCTCCCCTCGATCAGCCTCCCTTTATCTTCAGCGACTGGACTAGACTGAAGAAGCCAAGAAGACACGAAGAAAAGACTCAGGACGAAGATACGCCGTCGATTTTCCAGTTCATCGACGTTGTCCTAGAATGAGCACACCAGGAGATTTTCCACCCCCAAAAGCTCTTTTCAGAGCTCAATGCAGATGCTCCTCCATGGCGGCCGGTGACTCCCACGACTTATGTTTCGTGTGTTTAGGGTCCCTGCATGCCAAAGAGGGCGTCTGCAGTCCCCCTAATTGCGCCTCCTGCGCCCTCCTTTCTGTAAAGGAGAGGAAGCAGCGTTGGGCGTTTTTTAGGGAGGATATCCCCCTAGAGGACGTGCTGTCGATTTTAGCCTCTGCTTCAGAGGCATCATCTGACGGCGCAGACTCAGGGGACGATAGGGACTTTGAGGATGAGGCTGACCTTCCAATGGAACAGTCAGACCCCATCCCTCATACCTTCAAGCCCCCCTATCCTTTGGATAGAGAGAGGGCTGGTAGTTCCTATGACGACACGGGCTCTGAGAAATCAGAAGCCCTGTCCTTCGCTGCAGCATCTCTGAGAGCGGATTTTCCGGGTCTCATAGAGAGAGTTGCCAGACGGTTGGAGATACCGCTGCCCCCTATTCCCTCCGCCGCGGAGGTTGATTTAATGGGGGGCGGCCCGTACTCCAGGCCAAGAAGAGCGGCAGAGCCATTGGCTCCTGCCATGCCTTCATTGGCCAAATACGTCGAGGGCTCATGGGAGGCACCTTTAGCCGCGCGTTCGCCGGCTAAAACGTACCTCCCATTCACTAGAGTGGAGGGAAGGTTCCAGGGCCAAAACAAAGGAATCCCCAGGTTAGAGAGCGCCATGGCAGCGTATCTCGTACCGGGTTCGAGTCCTTGGCCCTCTTCCAAAAAAGCCATGTTGCCATCTCAAAAGGACCGCCTCACAGTGCAGCTGTTAGAGAAGTCCTTTAATTTGGGAGCCCAAGCTGTAGCAGCAGCTAACAATATTGCCCTCTTGGCAGCCGCTCTGTCCCGTTTAACCACGGGTAAGACAGAGCTGGAGCCAGAGGAGGTGGAGGAGGCGTCCAGGATTTCTGGCGCCATCCTACACCTAACACAGGCATCGGCCGTCTGTTCCGGGAGGTCCATGTCCACCTCGGTGGTCGCGGAGCGACACCTCTGGTTGTCTTTGACGACCATGAAGGAAGCAGACAGGACGTCCCTCTTGAACGCCCCCCTCCCTGACGACGGACTTTTCGGAGTCGCCGTCAAGGAGGCGACGGAGAGGTTTTCAAGACTGGACGAGGAGAAGAAGCAGTTGGCCAGACACTTGCCATTGGCAAGGAGGTTAGGCCCTGCGCCGTCACAAGGACCATCGACTTCCGCCCCCCAGAGTAGACAAGGGTCTACGGCGAGGCGGCGTATCCGGCGCCAGTCGGCGGCCACAGGAGGCAGGAGAGCGGGCTCAGCCCCCCCAGCAGCCACGGTGGCCCCGTTGCAGCCGGCAAGGGAGGTGGTGAAGACTCCGACCTGGGCCCCCAAGGGAGGCCACAAGAGGAGGCGCACATGACGGGACGCGGGGGAGCGGATGGAGGTCACGTCATCCTCGAACGCGACCACTGTTCCCCCCCACCCTTCGGTTGAAGGGATGGGTGATGATGCTTATGCTGTTGTTGATGTATGTAATAAAGAGTTGGCTCCACCTGACTTTGTCAAAAAAGAGCCCTTTTCCATAATACGTCCGAGAGCGTTCAAATCTCACCCTCTCTCACCTACCACTCTAAACGCCGTTCAGCCCACCAGGGGTGCGTTGCTGAACAGGCAGTTAGAGTAGGTACACATAACACTTCAATAAGAAGTGCGTCACAGAGCAGACAGCAGTCTCTGTCAGATTCTGACATGATGACGCAGTCGCTATTTGGGGATGGCGCACTATCACAGACCAAGGTCTCTGTTAGTGCGATTCAGACCCATGCTGCGTTCACGGAGGGCCCGATTACCACGGTCACGACGGTGCCCAGTGTATCGGCGCCCCCACTTCTCTCTGAACGCGCCATTACTCACCACACTGAGCGTAGTTCAGCCCACCGAAGGTGCAGAGCTGAACGCACACAGGAGGTGAAAGGAGAAAAGATACCGAGACGCCGTCTTGGTATATCTCAAAGAGACCTCACATTACAGACTCCAAGGAGTGTTGTAGTGAGTGCCTCTCATAGCAGGCTACAGCCTCAGTCAGTTGACATGAGGACACAGCCACGGTTTGGGGATGGCGCACTATCGCAGACTAGGGTCTCGGTTAGTGCGATTCAGACCCACGCTGCGTTCACGGAGGGCCGGATTTCGAAGGTTACGGGAATAACTGACGTATCTGAGCCCCCACTTCTCACAGAACGCGCTAATACTCACACTGAGAGTGATTCAACCCACCAGAGGTGCAGAGTTGAACACACACAGAAGGTGAAGGCTAAGAAGGTATCAAGGCGCCGCCTTGGGTTACCTCATAGAGACCTCATATTACAGACTCCTAGGAGTGTTGTAGTGAGTGGCTCTAATAGCGAATTGCAGGCATCTACGATGACGCAATCGCTTACTGGGGATGGTGCCCTGTCGCAGGCTGTGGCCTCGGTCAGTGCAATTCAGACCCGTGCTGCGTTCACGGAGGGCAGGAATTCGACGGTTACGAGATTAACCGACGTTTCTGCCCCCCCTTTGGGTTCAGAACGCACCAATGTTTCCTCTCCCTTTCATGGGAGGCCCGCCTTGGGCTGTTCCACCTCCTCAGTGTCGAGGAACAGCGGCGGCAAGGGCCATAGAGGAATACAGGTCCTTCCTACTTAATGTACCACAGCTTCGCGCTCGGCCACTTTCTCTGCATTGCTGGCAGTGGCAGCGAAGCTGCACCCTCTCACGCTGGCTAGAACAGACGTTGCAGAAGGGTTATGCTCTCCAATTCCATCGGACCCCACCCCCGTTCAGGGGAGTGGTGGAGACGGTGATGAAAACGGCAGAAAAAGTGGCCGCTCTGGTTTCAGAGATTACGGAACTTTTGGCGAAGGAGGCGGTCACAGTGGTTCCCCAGGAGCAAAGGAACAAGGGGCTATATTCGCCCTACTTCCTGGTGCCCAAAAAGACGGTGGGAATGAGGCCGATATTGGATTTACTCATTCTCAACGAGAGCGTAACCAAACGGCCCTTTCGAATGCTAACGACAAAACCTCTGCTGGAATGTGTCCAGAAGGGATACTTTTGTACGAGCATAGACCTAAAGGATGCGTACTTTCATGTGCCGGTACAGCCACGTCACAGGAAGTTTCTGCGATTCGCCTTTCAAGGGGTGGCGTACGAATACACGAGGATGCCATTTGGGTACGCCCTGGCACCTCGCACATTTTCCAAGTGTGTGGAGGCGGCATTGGAACCATTGCGTCGTCAGGGAATACGGCTATTAGCCTACCTAGACGACCTACTGGTTCTCGCCCCGTCAGCAGAGCTGGCGATCACTCACACAACACAGACAGTGATTCATCTCACATGTCTGGGGTTCGCTGTGAATTGGAAAAAGAGCGCCCCCTGGGCCAGTCATCAGATTGTCTACCTGGGGATACAGCTAGACACTGTAACGATGAGGGCTCGAATTTCGGACCCTCGAAGGGTAGCCTTGTTGCTAGCCCTGAGGAAGTGTCGTCCGAATCACACGGTGACGGCGCTGTCGATCATGTCACTCTTGGGTCTCATGTCGTCAGCCCACTCTGTGGTTCCGCTGGGACTCCTGCACATGCGCAGGATACAGCGATGGTTCGCCCAACTAAGACTAGACCCAGTGCGTCAACGTCATCGGTTGGTGGTGGTTCCCCTCTCGCTCAGTGCAGATCT